AGCACCGGGGGAGGAAAATTTTTGTAAACAGACGTTTCTTAGAGCAGCTTACTGTAGCACTGTTAAAATGAGTAATAATCATGAGTTATACTACATGCTCTGTGGGTTGCTTTTCTTCAGGAGAATATTTTTGTCTCTTGGCATCTATGATGTGGAGAGATGATTGCTTAAATAAAGGAAAATTTACATACAAAATAAGATGGATATTGTATAAGTGAGCACTGCTGAAAACAACATCACATGAAGTGATAACAGCCTTAACAACAGCATAAGTATCTTCTGCTCTGAAAAAAAGTCCCAGTTATCTGCAGTGCTTTCAGATGGTAGGCAGCAATCAGGTGATATACAATGCAATACCTTTATAATTCTGCAAGAGATTGTCTGAGTTTGGGTTTAGGCTCAGGAACTTACTGAATTAAAAATGCTTGGTTCAGACAAATTATCTTGTGGTAATAATGATGCTCCAGTCAGTTATCTGCTGCCCTTGTTTAGCACAGTACCTCTTGAAAATAAACTGTTAGGTTTTATAGTCATAGCTACTCAGTTCACCACCACAGATTTTCGTATTAGGTAATACTATTTGAAACTGTGTTAATGACAGCATCTTTCTTAATGACATGGACAAAGGGAGTTGAAGAACCCTGAATGTGACTGAATCCTAATTCCCAAAGATTCAGCAGAGTAAAACTTATTTGCAGCAGGGGCTGTGAATGACCTGATGTCTGGAAGCCCCTTTTAAAAAGTATTTATATAAATTCTGGTGGAAAAATCTGTCATTTCACATTAGATTGCCATTATTTTGATAGAGAGAAAGAACTGCTGTTGGTATTATTTTGGAGCCATGATCAGGCTTTGGAGGACAGAAATGAAATTACAACAACACACTAGGAATGACCAACAAGGTGGTTGGTGACACACCAACAAGGTGGTTGGTGACAGCCAGCATGGCTTCACTAAGGGGAAATCCTGCCTGACCAATTTGGTGGCCTTCTATGATGGGCCTATGGAACTGATGGACAGGGGTAGAGCAGCTGACATCATCTACCTGGACTTGTGCAAAGCGTTTGACACTGTCCCACATGACATCCTCATCTCTAAATTGGAGAGACATCAATTTGATGAATGGACCACTCGGTGGATAAAGAACTGGCTGGATGTCCGCACACAAAGAGTTGTGGTCAATGGCTCAATGTCCAGCTGAAGACCAGTAATGAGTGGTGTCCCTCAGGGATCGGTGTTGGGACCGGTCTTGTTCAACATCTTTGTTGGTGACATGGACAGTGGGATTGAGTGCGCCCTCAGCAAGTTTGCTGATGACGCCAAGCTGTGTGGTTCAGTTGATACGCTGGAGGGAAGGAATGCCATCCAGAGGGACCTTGACATGCTTGTGAGGTGGGCTGATGCCAACCTCATGAAGTTTAACCATGACAAGTGCAAGGTTCTACACCTGAGTCGGAGCAGTCCCAGGCACAGCTACAGGTTGGGCAGAGAAGAGATTCAGAGCAGCCCTGCGGAGAAGGACTTGGGGATGTTGGTCGATGAGAAAATGAACATGAACCAGCTGCAGTGTGTGCTCACAGCCCAGAAAGCCAACCGTATCATGGGCTGCATCAAAAGGAGCATGACCAGCAGGTCGAAGGAGGTGATCCTGCCCCTTTACTCAACTCTTGTGGGACATCACCTGTAATATTGTGTGCAGTTCTGGTGTCCTCAACATAAAAAGGACATGGATCTGTTGGAACAAGTCCAGAGGAGGGCCACGAGGATGATCAGGGGACTGGAGCACCTCCCTTATGAAGACAGGCTGAGAAAGTTGGGGCTGTTCAGTCTGGAGAAGAGAAGGCTGCGTGGAGACCTCATAGCAGCCTTCCAGTATCTGAAGGGGGCCTGTAAGGGTGCTGGGGAGGGACTCTTCATTAGGAACTGTAGTGAGAAGTCAAGGGGTAATTGGTTAAAACTTAAACGGGGGAGTTTAGATTGGATATGAGGAGGAAATTCTTTACTGTGAGGGTGGTGAGGCACTGGAATGGGTTCCCCAAGGAGGTTGTGAATGCTCCATCCCTGGCAGTGTTCAAGGCCAGGTTGGACAGAGCCTTGGATGACATGGTTTAGTGTGAGGTGTCCCTGCCTGTGGCAGGGGGTTGGAACTAGATGTTCTTAAGGTCCTTTCCAACCCTAACTATTCCATGATTCTGAGGTGATTTATGGCTGAGAAACGGATGATCATTCTAGATTTGCTTGATGTAATACCCAACCTGTTGCTTTTCTATTTGTTGTATTCCCGCTACAGTGGGTTATTTTTTAAAGTTTTTTATTTTGCAGTATGCCACTAATTACAGTGTAATCTGCATGGAGGTGCTGTCAAGAGAATTGGAAATACAATTCTGACCACTGTTACGTGTTGATGATTGAGTGGATTGCTTTTCAGCTATGGGACCCTGTGATACTTCCATGACATTTGTGTACTTAAACAGAAAAAAAAACTAAATGAGATCTGTGGAAGAGGACTACCAAACTGAGTTTCGTTTTAGTTCTCTGAGACCTTCCTGATACGTGTCTGATGACTCATGTAAAGGTTTAGGTAGCCCGAGACTTAAATGAAGACATTGAAGGCCAGTTGCTGGTCAGTGTGCTGCTTCTACTGCAGTCATAGCTGAGGAAAGCTGCTTACTAGCTATTGAAATACAGGCTTCCAGAGTGGAATGAGTGGGAGCTGACCTTGGAAACTTGTTGGTTTTCCTTAGTTAGTGCCCTTAGTGTTAAAAATTGGGCATGATATTAGCCATCCAGCCATTCCAAATATAATTCTGCTTCTGGTCAGCTGTTGTTTATGCTTACCTGTGTTGCTGTTAGAGACATGATTTGCAATGAAAATGCTAAGTCAAGATTTAGTATAGTCATGGCACTACAGCCTTGAAGCAGCTGAAGATGTTAGTGACCAACTACCATCCTTAAAAAGGTAAGATACAGTCCTTAAGATAGTCCCATGGGTCGTTTTTGCTAACTAAGCACAAGTGATTAGGGATACTTGCTTCCTTACTCAACTGCATAAATACTTTGTAGTTGTGAATTTGTTGTATGCAAGGCTCTTGCTTGGCTGTTGGCAATTCTCAGAAGACCCATTTGAAAGATACTGCTGTGCTTTTTGAGCTCCATACCTCATATGGAATCAAGTGGAGCTATATGGGGCTTGAACTCTTGTTTTTTTCATTACTATCCAGATGATTTTGTTGTGATTAAGTGGAAGTTTGGCAAATCAAGTCTTTTTGTAAGGAGTGCCATTTGTTTCCCATAAATGTGAGCCTTCATCTCTAGTAGATCTTACATATATTTGAATCAAATTTCATTCTTAGGTTTACCTTATTTTTAGAGCAGAGAGGGCATTTGAAAGCTATTGGAAACATCTATTTCAAAACTAGATAAAACTCTGGATAAGAGATGCTTTTTCTGTTTCCCAGTTTAAGATTCTGTCATCTGTGCTAGAAGTGTACTGTTTTTGAATAGGAGTAATTTGGAGTCATCAACTTAACCAGTAATTAAAGCTGTTCTTCCAGCTATATGTTTGCGGATGCTGTGTCAGAGGAAAGGAAATACTCTGTAATCTTCACCAGAGTCTGTAACAGAATGTGTAAAAATAACTATTGGAATGTGTCAGTAGAGAAATGTTGCTGTTTGTGATCTCTCTCTATTGCTGCATATTGTATCATGGGCTGCTTGCAGACCATGATGTATTGTGAAGAAGACACTGGGGAAGATGGAGTCTGTGCTCTATACAAATACTGATAAAATTGCGGGTTTAGAGCATACATGATATAGATGTCATTTCAATCTCCAGATACGTTCATAGTTTTCGTGAGCTTTTGCCAAAAAATCTCATAGCATCGTGCCCTTAGGTGTTCTGCTAAATCCAGAACCTTTCTATCTGTAGAGGATACAGCAGAGAACATAATAGTACTTCATTTTAAGCGATTTATGCTTGCAAAAAAAAAAAAAAAAGAAAGTTTTGAGTTTGGTGTGGTTTTTTGGTTTTTGGGGGTTTGTGGGTTTTGGTGTTTTTTTTTCCATTCCCCCTGATTATGTTAACTTTAAATGTACGTAAGATAAGCCTTTCCTTATATTATGTTAACCTACTCTTTTAAAACCAGTTATTTATAGTGCATTCTCTCTCCTTAATTCCAATCATAGCATTTGCAAATTTCTGTATGATAATAAGGAAAATTTAATGTAAGTGAACAGTAGAAAATGTTAGTCTTTTGGAACTTGGAGGCAAAAGAGTCTTAGGAGTTGCCTTGAAGAAGCAACTTACGGAAGATGCTTGTGAGAAAAAAGAAGAGAGGGAAGACATTCATGGAAATAAAAGTACACTGTACAAGAAGTAGGTGTTATTCACTCCCTCATCAGAAGTGCAGAAGATAGAAAAAAATTTGTCTACAGTTATCATGTAAAGAGATTTGAAAAAACTAACAGTGTTTAGTAGATGAAATAATAGTAAAGTGTGTTCTCAGTAGTAAATACTTAGGAGATACTTGTTAATTCTCCTTACTGTATAAAACCAACATACGTATTGTTCAGTCTCAAGCTTTGTGTTTAGTAGTAGTTATATAAGCAGTGTATAGTAGTAGGGTTCCATACTGTGTAGAAAAGAAATGTTTGTAATGCTTTGAAGTAACTCAATCAAATATCCTTCCAGCACCAGCTGCTAAATTAGAGGAAGAGGAATTTAGGGGAAAAAGTGGCAAAATGCATTCCAAGTACAGCAACTTCCTCTAAAGTATTAGCTACTCAAGGCACACTAATGAAGCTGTGCTGTCAGCAGGGTGCAAGGCCTTAAAAAAGTGAGTAGTAGCAGCATTCTGAATTACTATATACAGGCCATGTATAGGATGTAGAGGTAGTCATCTAAATAACCTCAGCCTAAGACAGGAGCTTAATCACCATAGTATCGTCACAGTTTCTGTAACCTGTTTTTAATGTATATTCTTTTTCTGTGTGTGTTTCAGAGATCCAGCTTACTTTGACGAAAACTGGCTGAACAGGATCAAAACAGAAGTAGGAGATAACTGGAGGCTAAAGGTATTTGACTTTGCTTGTCTGTGAGTCTGTATTTCAGTTATTAATAAGATGTTGAAACCTAAATATTAGTGTATGACCTTGATTAGTGTATGACCTTGTATAGATTATGACCTTGCTTTATAATACAGCATTTTGAATTTTAGACCATTTCAATTACTTATGTTTTTTATGTTGTTAGTCCTGTACAGTTTAGTGAAAAAGATAATTTGAGTTTGTAAATTGGTTTCAGTATTTAAAAGAAAATGTTGAAATATGTTTTATGCATTCATTACTTCTCTTTGTTTGTCAAATGTTGAGTGAAAGGGTTTTTTAAATGCAAAAGAAAGTAGCATTGAAAACAGCTTTGAGAAGCAGTTGCATCAAAATGGTAGAATAATAAGCAATTTATTTAAATAAAAACAGTAAAGTGTTTTTCCTTTTACATGCTCAGTAGTTGTGCAGAACCGTCATTTAAAAGAGGAAGTTGTATTTTTTTCTGTGTTGTTTGTGCTCAGCATGTTTTTTAACCACAGTCTATTTGCTGGGTCATTTGTATCACTTGGTATTCTAGTACTTTCTCTGCAAACCTTAAGTTTTTTTAAATAGAATTTACAGTGCTGTGGCTGAAGAACATAGTTTCGCATGCAGACTTAAGTGCAGTTTCTGACAAGTTTTGTTCAGAGAACGATATATGTAAATTTATAAATTGTCATTTCCTGCCTGACTCCTTGGGGAAACAAAATAGTGATGGTTTGTCTGTCAATTCATGTTTCCTGTAAAACTATTTTGTTCTGGCTACCAAAACCTCTTCTGAACGTCTTGGGGAACAGCTAGAACTGTGAAATGCTCTAGTAATTATAGGCTCATCAACATCACTGGCTGAATAGAAAGAACACACAAGTAAGTGCCACCTGAGACAAGGATGGACCATGCTCCTGCTAAGTATATTTTGACTTGGCCAGCAGATCTTGTCAGTGTGGTTTCTGCTGCATGGCCGGTTGGGTGTGTGTCTGGACTGCTTTAGAATGTTTTATCTTCCAGGGCTGCCAGCAAAAATGTGTATACATTGCTGAGGCTAGATTGACTGGCTAGTGAATAAAAGATGTGATCCCTAAAAAAAATAAATTATCTTTAGTTCTGCTGCTTGAGGCAGTTAACTTCAATAAAATTTTCAAAGCAACATACGGAATTGCAAGTGAACAGCTGCATACAAGGTTTTATTTTTCTGTAAAATATTTCTGTTGTTTTTCTCTAAGGAATATTTAATTCTTGGCTGGTGAATTTGGAGAACAACAAATTGAGAACTGTTTGGTTTAATAGCACTTCAGTGCTGATTGAAAGCAGAGCAGTAGCTTCTGTATCTTTCATATGGAGCTTGAGGAATAATTTTTATTTTTTTTTACGTCTCCCACCAGTTTGGCAAATACTAAGGCTTAGCAGGTGTAAATAAAAAAAATAATTAAAAAAGCTAAAAAGCTGAGCAATCTGGTAACTTCCTTTTGTGATTGAGATTGGAAAAATATCAGGTCAATTTTCAGTTTCTTGCTGATGTCACTTTTTTTTTTTTTCCTCTCTCATAAATATATGTAAATGAGAACATAAGACTTCATGTTTTAAATTTTTGTATAATTTTTTTATATACCACTTCCCTTTTTGTGAAGACTGATATTTTAACTCTTACTGTGTAACCAGAAAAGTAATCTTATACTATCCAACTGTTCTTCATATATGAGTTAACACTACTAGTAATCTAGTTGTTCAAATCTCTTGTGAGCCTATCCATTTATAGGAATGCTTTCAATTGGTGCATTTCTATTGTTTTGGTACTAGATATAAAATGTAGAAAACATGCTCTCCATAATTATGATCTAGATTTCCCTTCATATTCCAAGAAGTACCATATGAAATTATTATTGGGTTGTCTTACTACCTCACAAGTTATGCTAATGAGCTGAATTATATTCTTGTTGCTAAACATGGTTGCTCTTTGCCTCTGATATCATATGTTGTAGTATTCACCACTTACGCAAGCTCCTGGTATTAGGAACCACATAAAGGAGCTAGTCTAGTTGGGGAAGTTAAGAAAAAAACAAACTAAAATGTAATGTGCAGGTAGTTCCATTTTGTGGAACAGTGGTTAGGAGGGCCTGATAGGGGTTAGTTTAGGCCTGATACAGCATTCCTAACTACTGCTGAAAGAGACTCAGAAAATTGTGCAGTTGTTAACTTTGAATTGGATGCTGTCCTGTTTATTCCTCTTTATTGGAATAAACAATTTTTTTTCTTCAGCAGTTCTCTTGCTGATAACTGCAGGAATGCAGTCTTAGGAAAGTATTTTTCATGTTGCTGTACAAGTTTAAAGAAGTACGTAAGTTTACAGGGATGTTTGTTCTTGGTTTCAGGGCAGGTTGTCTTGACTTGAGAGATTGGGCAATGCACAAGATAGAAAAGGGGAAATATTAGAACTCAGAGGACTTGCAAAGCATGAAGCATTGAGCAAGCATTTTGTGTTGCAGCGGGGCAGATCTTTGTTGTGCTTACTGAAGAAACATGTTTTTACTTCTTAGTGTTAAAATTTCTGGGGCATAGCATACATCCATTTACAGAGAAGTTTGTTTTCCCTTGGGCAAGAAAACTACTTTCAGTGCTGTCTTAACTGCAATTTTATGTTGAGGGGCTGGGGTTAAAAAAGGGGAGGCAAAGACATATCCATTTCATTATATAGAAATGCACATTTTAATAGTTAGAGTTCAAACTATGTGTACACTAGTATTTCATGCTGAAGAAGAGGACATTTTGAAGACAAAATGGCCTTTATTGAAAATGGGAAATGGCATACAAAATAATTCTGTTGCCAGATTTTGTAGGAAATAAATTTCCAGGTCAGGAAACAAGATTAGTACATGAATACTAGTAATAGAACAGAAATTTGAACAGTTAAGGATTTTGATATACACATGTCAATTCTGGCAGTTACAGAATAAGTTATTGACTGTGTAAGTGATGAGATAAAAATGGATTTCCCCCCCCCTTCCATTCAGTATAGTCATACGTATCTTGGGAAGGGAAGGAAATATGCTGTGAGCTTAATTTCTGGCTTTTTTTTTGTTTGTTTGTTTAACCTGAACTTCCTTTGGCTTTCAGAGTACAGTATCGGTTTTAAGTACAGTTTTATTGATGTTTAATGGTAGGAAACTGTTCCATTTTCTTCCATTACTGAGCAGCACATTCAAACAACAGGAGGCACTAGACTTTCTGCAACTAGTACAGTTTGAATGCTTTGTGTTTGATACAATATTGTAAAATAGAATAACCACTGAAATTAGAACATGGACTGCTTTGTGCTGTAATCTGAGTAAGCAAACATTATTTTTGAGGATTGATTTTGACTCCCTACAGTAGTACAGATATGTTTGCTCTGAATTCCTTCATGGTAGAAGCTGGGATTTATCATTTAAAATCATTTAGGGGTTTATTTTTGCAGAATACAGGTTGGAAGGGGCTAACCCCCCAAAGCTAGTGGTATAACCTTTCTCTAGGGTCCATTTATAATTGGTGAAGAGACACATTCTCACAGAATGCAGTTTAGTGCAGAAACCTAATGTGTATGTGTATGGTGGGAACAATGTGGGCATACTGTCTCTCCCTTTCCGGCCCATCCTTTTAAGTGCAGTTTTAAGTGCACCTGGAAAGAATATGTACCTTAATGAAATACCTGAAGCTGATTAATAATTCTCTCACCACTTGCAAGTTTGCCCCGCCAACACTTCCAGAAGTTATAAGGTTCTTAATTATAATTTGTGTGAAGCAAAATAGGTCTATGTATAATTACCCAGGGAAGAGAACTGCTGAACAGCATGTCAGAACATTTGGGGTCCTGTTCAGACATACCAGGACCTGAAATGTACAAGGATAAGTCAATTTATACAGACTCTTCAGCACAGACAGGATTTCAGTCATACATGTGATATAAGGATAAATGCAAAATTGGGGACTGGCTGTCATAATGTGAGAGAGAAAACAAGGGATTAGATAGCCCATGCTCCCTTTTTGACAGCAGTCAGAAGCTTAAGGGCATCTCTACTCCCCACTTCATCAGGCTTTCCTTCTGTTGCTCAAGTATATCCATAAAAAGTGAAATCTAGATGGACTACCCTTACAGACCCTCAGTTTGCAAGCAGGAAGTAAATTGTACTGAAATAAAAATAGAGATTTCATATGACGGGGGGGGGGAGAGGGGGAGGAAATAGGAGAAAACATCAAAGTCATATGGTGTTCACAGATCATGTGTTGCCTTCAGTAACCCAGGGCAAGTTAGTGCTGTGTGATAAGGGTCAGTCTGACACTGGACAGTGTGTGCTAGCTGTGTAGTACTACACTACAGACAAGACGGTTGTAAACTGAGAGGGTAATTAGCATTTAACAGAAGGAACATCCACACAGCTCTGTATGGATATTAATGACATCTAGGTATTCAAAGAATGAATGATAACATACAGGTTCCCTTTGTGCATGCACTAGTTGAAAGCAAATGTCCTCCCCTTGGTAATATGAGAGTGGGGAAATAAACCATGAAATGACACATGGAAAAGAGATTGAAAATGAATATTCATCTATTAATCTACTCTAGAAATATTTAGTAATACATCTGTTGTGAGTTGCAACAGCTTTTAAAGTGGAATAAAGCATAGTTGCCACTATTTCTGCCCCCCTTGCTCCCTCCATGAGTTTTCTGTCTCATCTGAGAAAGGTATGGGTGCAGAGAACAGATGTGGAAGGGATTTGGAAGAGAGTGTATTAGTTTTTTAAGGGAAAGAAGGAAATTGGGATGCTGACGCAAATGAATAAGCATCCTGTATGATCATGGCCTGATCTCCAAAGGATGATACAGTGATTTATAGTCATGATTAACACTGGAAATTCTATCTGTTGTGTTCTGTTGTTGTGGCTTTGAGTTACCATCTGGGCTTAAACCATGGCAATGATTTAGTGCTCTTTCTTAACTAGTTATAGTTAGATTTTGAACAGCAATCATCTGCTGTGATTTAGAATTCTGTTGTAATTTGTTGTTTTCAATGCTTTCTTGTGCTGTTCTTAATTTTCATTACAAGTCTTCCTTGTAAGAACTTGTGCTATAACCTGGCAAATGTTGGAGTTACTGTGTTGACTCTCAAAATACAAAACATTTGTAGTAGTTTCCCCATGATGATTATCTGCCAGTGGCAGTAGAACCAAGTGTACGTAGATGAGCTGCAGATGAGCTAAAGAAAAAAGTCAAGAACCGTCTGAGTAATACTGAAGATCGTTAAGCTTAAACCAGTCTATAAAGGAGCTTCTCTAGCCTTACAATTATCTGTTTGTGTGCTGGATACAAAGATGGTAAAGTTAACTCTTGAAAGCAAGTTATCTTTGTACTGCTGTTTGGAATAAACCAGCAGTACTAAGTGGAATAAAATAGGACCTTAGGTGGGATTTGGGGGGCCCCCCCCCCCCCCCCCGTTTGTTTGCTGCTTTCTTTTTCCAAGGATGCTGTCCTGTATGTTAGTTTTGATGACAGATTTTGATCAATACTGATTTTGTTCCAGCATCTCAAATCTAACTAAGCTTTATAAAAGTTTTATGGAGGAATATGACTCTTTGTATTTAAGGGATTTTAATCCAAGCAATGCTTACAAGAAAAGGGAAAAAGAAATATTTTGTAGGTGGGTAACTTTATTTCTCATTGTTTGGGTTTATGTTCAAATTCAAGGTTTCTCATTGGCAAACTAGACTTAAATTCTGCAACCTGGCCTTTGTGTTTCTGTGGCACTTTCCGCAGCAGACTCAGGTAAATTGTAAACCGGAAAATTTTAATGAATCAAGTTTGAAAATTACATTCCAATCAGTTCAGTATTCGTCGTGGTGATTTGACATCAAAAAAAAATTACCTACATTTCTTTAAATTCTTAAATCTCTTGCAGACTTTGTTTATGATTGTGCATAGTCTTGGAGAGTGGTGATGGTGATTGCTTTTGGGTGGATAGCTAGAAGGTAGTTGTAGTTCTCACAGAAACATGACACATAATGTGTAGTATTACAGAAATAGCAGGGTTTTGGTAGTAGAAGGTGTAAACCTCAAAGTAAACTAATTACTATGTTGTTATGGGAGGGACAGTATATATTATACGGGTGCTATTATGCAGCATTTCCATCAGTCATTCTTTGCAGAACCTGTTTACAGGCTTCATAGAATGATGTTTTACACTGGTAAGGACTTGTAATTTCGTAGTAAATAAGAACCCTCAAGAGCCCAGCTATTAACTTTAACAATACTAAGTCTATCATATAAACCATGTCCCAAAGTGCCATGTCAACATGTCTTTTGCAGCCTGTTCCAGTGCTTGATAACCCTTTCAGTGCAGAAATTTTTCCCAGTATCCAATCTAAACCTTCCCTGGCAGAGCTTGAGGCAATTACCTCGTGTCCTATTGCATGCTGCTTGGGAAAAAAGACCAACTCCACCTTGCTACAATCTCCTTTCATGTATCTGTAGAGTGCAGATAAGATCTCTCCTTAGCCTACATTTCTCCAAACTAAACAACTCCAGTTCCCTCAGCTACTCCTCTGTCTCAGGAGACAATAGTGCAATTGCTACCATTATCCACGTTCCTTGCTTAAATACTTGGACTTAAATTGGTGGGAATCTGTAGCTCAGCAAAAAAATACTATTTTTTTTCCCCTAAATATCACTTATGGAATCTATTGGGCATTTTTATAATTTTAAAGGCACTCTTTATCTCAGAGACATGATGTAAATAGATTTTCTCCAGAAAGGGAACTATATTCAGCACTAGAGAAGTGCGGCAAGCAGGAGGCACTTCATGGATGGTATTGATTATGCAAGTGAACAGAAGCTGTCTTTGTACAGCAGTGAAGGCATCACTGAGAAATGTGAATTTTGCCCTGACACTCTAAGACAGACATTCAGTTGTAAAGAACTGGGGGTGAGGGTGGCATGACACATGGACAGGCACAAACAAAACTGGAAGAACTAAGATGAATAATTAATGAGAAGGTTAATAAATTAAGCTTACACAGGCTGGGAATAAAGGACGATTCTGAGCAATAACTGATACTGGTTTGGGAGAAGAGGTTCATCTCTGCAAAAAAAAGTAGATCACTGGGATACTTCAAGAGAAGAAAGGAGGAAAAGAGTGGTTTAACTTCCAGATACAAAAATAATTCTAAAATAAACAAGTACTCCAGAAAATTAATATTTAGAGCCTATCCAAGGCAATGTGATGTTTTTAACAAATTTAAATGGGTTCTGCCAATTGTAATTGTGTGTGGAGTCTGATCATAAGGGAATATTGCATAACTTTGATCATTCTAATTAAACTGCTCAAACAGAAAGTCTCATTGTGCAAATATATGTATGATTCTTTTATATGATTCTTCTGTGATTGCCTACTTTTTGATCATTTATCTGTAACTTATTCTTTGCATTTATTGTATTTCCTACTTCTTCCTGTCAAATAGGTAAGCAACCTGAAGAAAATTTTAAAAGGAATACTGGATTACAACCATGAGGTAAGAACCATTTTAAGTAATCTACATCTACATTTCTTTTTGGTTGTGCATTTTAACTAACCCGTTTAATGTAGTTTATATTCTGCTGATTAAATTACGACCTTTTCTTGCAAAGTATTTGGCATACAGAGTGCTTCATTGCCTGTTCTCAGGTGTTAGACTTCTCTAAGACTTCTCACCTACTGTATTGAATAGTCATCAAATTCTGTCATACAAATCGTAGAGGTCTTTGCTGACTATGTCCCAGTGATGGAATTGTGTTTGATTTTTGTCACTTTCTCCCCCACTCCAGCTAAAGACTGCTGCTGGTTGGTTTGGGGTTTTTTTTTGTTTGCTTGTTTGTTTTTTGGGTTTTGGTGGTTTTTTTTGTTTGTTTGTTTTGTTTTTGTTTGTTTTTTTGTTTTTTTTTACCTTGGGAAACGAAAGAGTATTTTTAGCCTCTCCACACATTAAAGTTTTTTATTAAATGTTTTAATCCTGAGATGTCAATGTCTGCCCTTGGCATTCCCTCTTAGGCTGTTGAGCAAACTCAGAATTAAACCACTCCAGAGGAGATACGATACAATATTTTTTTCAGTGGTGAATCTTCAGCTGAAATATGTTTTTAATTTCAGTGATGTTTTGTGGCAAATTGATCTGTACAGGCTGCAGCATAAAATCCATAATGTGTATGTTCTGGACATTGCCTGTTTTAAAATACTAGCTTCTCATAAATAGTTTGGAGAGGAAGATGTTTGTTAACAAATTTAAGTCTTCAAAAAGGAACAGATTTTTAGAAAGAAGAAGTTAAACTGATAAGCTGAAATAAATTTTGAAAATAGATGGAAAAGCAAGATGCTTATAACTGACATTCTAGAAAGAAACAAGGTTTTTTTCTCAGAAAATTTATATTTGTATGGCAAAGCAATGCCAGCTTCTTTTTGGCTGTTTAGTATATATGATTAAGTTTCTGGTGTAAAAACTTTGCTACCAAATGAATTTGAGCTGTTTTAAGCTAATGAAGTTCTGCAAAGATAATGCAGTTTTGTAAGTTTGACTGGATATTGGTTTGTGGGGTTTTTTGTTTTTTTTTTTTTCTGTTGAGGCAATGCTTATGATGGTAATGGGGATAACCTGGATCTTGCTATGAATCCTGGTTGTGTTTTCCTCAACCCCATTCACTCTCCTAGAAGTCATCTTCTACAAAAATATAGATATGAATGTATGTAGATTTTACCTGATGTAGCTACAAGCCTTTGAAAAGACTATATGCTAATTTTGTTAATTTTCAGAAATTTCTACTGCATTCAGGAGAGCAGTTTTTCAATAGCTGTCCTACGTTGCTGTCTTTGTCAATTATAGTATGGTAGAACAAGAAGATAAAGTTATCTATTTATAGCTTGCACGCTTTGTTATGCCCCAATAATCTTGCTGCAGAACTCTGAGCTCTGGAATTAAAACTAACTTTTTTTTTTTTTGGTCTCTCATATTTTTATTTTTTTTTTAAGGGAGATAATGCTCTCTTTCATCTCAGGATATTTATTGGAGAGTCTATAATTTTCATATTTTTTTTTAATAAAATTATATCTTTCATTTACTTCAAAATCCTCTATTTCAAAATCCTTCACATCCTTGGCTTCTTCGTAGTGTCTCCTGAGATGCCTCTTCCCTTCAGCTTTCTTTAACAGCGAGTACATTATCAGTAACTATGAAATATTACTGATTTAAATCTGGCATTGATTTTGAAAGAAATTCAGCAACTACAGAATATAAAAACATAACCAGGTTTGTATAATCCAAGAATATTGTGGCTTACTGTATTGTTGCAGTATATATACAAAGGTAGTATTTTCCATTGTGCTTGATAATACAAAGATAGTATTTTCCGTTGTGTTTGATGCATTCATACTCTCATTAGAATGACCTAAAGGAAGTCTTTTCCAACAAGAATGAATCTGAGTCCTTTAAAGTATACAAAGATTTTTAGTAGTGTTAGTGCTCAGCTGGAAAGCTGTTAAAAATAATGCCACAATAGAAAAAACAGTAAATAAGAACAAACTCAGCTACAACAATTCCATAAAGCCCCAACCCTGGAAAACTTTTGAATGGCTTGATTTCCATGTATTCTTCATACACATCTATTAAGTGTTTTTCACAAATACCTTTACCTAATTCACTGTTTTTCTTGAATATTAACTTGAAAAAGGGTTTCCAGCAAACAAATGACTTCATTGCCTCCACAGTCTTTGTTTTTTTACTGCACCCTGCTTAAGAAGTGACAGTTCCTTTTTATCTGCAATTAATCTGTCAGAACTATGTTTAATTCCGTATTTCATATTCATATTTTCAGCCCCCTGAAAGCTCTTTATGAACAATTTAGCAGAATTGTTTAATTCCTTCTACTGACAATCATTAATGTAAATCCTTCTTAATTATAAATAAGATTACATTAATTGTAACTCACATGGGGTGGTTTTTTTTTTGTTTTGTTTTGTGCGGTTTTTTGTTTGGGGTTGCTTCCCCCCCCCCCGCATGTGGGCTGTTTAATTATGTATTGTACTACAGTGTCAAGTTCTCTTCCATGGAACTAGCTTTTATAACTCTGAGACTGCTAAATATCCTTCAATTTTCTAAAAGTGAGAGGCCGTGTAATCAAGTTTTAATGTCTTATTTTTGTCATTCGTCAGTGCAAGTGCAATATTTCAATCTTTCTTTTTACTGGTAAGAAATGTGAGACTTGTGTATAATAAATATTATGTGCATCATCATGTGTTTTTAGGAGATAGATTTCTTTTTAATGGAATGCTCTAAAAGAAAATCTGATTATCCATGTGCTGTTGATCACCATGGAAGCCTGCCTTCGTTACCTTTCTTATCTGAAGAAAAGAATCTTGCTAAGTTTGAAACTAATAGATGCTTATTAGTTGAAACAGTCAGATTTATGTTCTCCCAAATATTAATTCTGTCAAGCAGCCTGTTTTAACATTTAGATGTTAGGTATTAGGCAGTTTTAAAGGTGGGTTGAAAACTGTGTTAAAGTATGAGTGAATTGCTCTTGTTGCTTCTGAATCATCATTGTATTTTGAATCGTGTGGATGTATATGTGTAGTGATAAGGTCATATATGTACTGGGTTTTTACACAGATTCTAGGGCAGCAGATTAATGACTTCATCCTTCCTGATGTTAACCTGATTGGAGAGCATGCTGATGCTGCGGAGCTTGGGAGAATGCTTCAGCTTATTTTGGGATGTGCTGTGAATTGTGAACAGAAGCAAGGTATTAAATTTTGAAAACATGTTTTCTCCCAACTAGTGGATGAAAATCCAGCTTGTTGTGTGACTATGTAGGGGTTGCTGTCAGAGAAAAATACATTTTTTTCAGTGATGACATTATTTTGCCCTACATTTAATAACTGTTGTCTTCTTGTAAGCTTCACTTCTTTTGGAGTATCAAACTGCGGAATTGGTTTTGCTTGCAATGTACGTATTTTCAGTTTTTGTTTGCTGAGCCATGAGTATGACTGGGGATTGATCTGAAGGTGTGATCTGGGTTACTGTAGTTTCTGAGACTTATGCATGAGTTTGGCAAATAAGAAAGAGTAAAGTTGTCAACCATGCCCTCTGGGCAGCAGCTGAAGACAAAGCATGCTACCTTAAGGGAATCCAAAATATCACTCAAGGCATCTGTTAAGTGATTGAGTCCCTCTTCAGGAGTCACTAAAAAGAGACTTCTACCTATCTTGACTCCCATGGCACTGTCTTTCTGACCCACACAGGTAAAATGAGGACCCATTTATTTTTCCTGTGGATGCCACAAAGAATGTGATGAACAGTGGAGATGCTTGTGGAAGTGTCCCAGATCTCATGCTTGAAACTTTCCTTGGGTGCACTGTGTCTTATAGTTACCCAGTTGCCCTAAATTACTCTCAATTCAAGCCAGGTTAAGATAACAAAGCAACTACAGCCATTTGTTCTTAACAGTTAAAACAGGAAGCGTAAGAACATGTTTATTAAATACATATGTAGATAAATAAAACTGTGTTTACTGTATTTACATCAAAGTCACATCAAATATCTGTCTCTAATTTAACTCATTTTGTTTTCCTTTCTGTCAAAATGACAGCCAGAGTTTCAGACCTTTTGTCTGCTCTTACATAGTCCATTTTAGCTTTTATAGCTAGTTTCCACTTTTCAGTTTTCTCAGGAATGAAAAAGGAGAAGGGACCTATTTGTGATACAGCACAGAAATAAGAACAGCAACCAAGAATGTATATGAAAATACCTTGAATTGAGGATGCTGTAGGAAGGCAGGACATTATTGTTAAACTTACAGAAAAGGACAGCCTGTGCATGGGTTGAGCACTTGTATAGCCTGAACAGTTTGAGAACAAGGTCAGAAAACAAGTAGTTATTTCAGAAGTGTGAGATGCCAGAAGGAAAAAAAATGGATGACAATCATGCCCTTCTTTTCATTGATTCAGAGTTCCACTGAGCCTGGATTTATGCCTGAATACACTTTTGACAAATTCTTAACTAAGTTTGTTGGAGTGGGATTTGACTAATGATCAAGCATTTCAGTGTCACCTGTGACACATGGTTTTGTAAGAAGAATGCAGCTTCTGACCTCATGATCTGTGTAACTTGAGTTTCAGCAGTAACATTTCAGAATGCTCTTATTTTCAGAGTACATCCAGACCATAATGATGATGGAAGAATCGGTTCAACACGTTGTCATGACAGCCATTCAGGAGGTATGCTGGGATGCCTAGAGAATATTAAAGTTAAGCCTTTCAAAAGTGTGCTTTTTTTATACTTAGGAAAAACTGAGTTGAAAGTAAAGAAAATAAGGGGCATAGATTTTGCCATTTTACATTTAAAAAAACTCTTAGTTTTGCTTAGAAAAACTTGCTTTATGTCTAGGAACTCTGGTTGAATTGTCCCACTTTTCTTTAAATCTAGAAGATTGAAACTTCTAGATATTTTTGTTACCGGATTTCCTTTCCTTTACTTTTCCCACCCTGTGACTCCTGAAGTGCACTAGACTACGTTTATGTGAGTAACTAAATACTCCAGAATTCTTCAAAATTTGTACCTTGAAATTGCAAAACTCCATGAGCTGTTAATTTCATTTACTTTTTTTTTTTAATAAGTGAAGAGAGAAATAGATAATATTCTTTTGTCAGCTGTACTTTTAAAAGCAGGCTAATGAAGTTATTTGTGCTAATATTTTTCTTGAAGTTAGTAAGTATACTGCAGTGTATTTTGTAAAAGTGCTGTTCAGTAGTAAATTAAAACCACAGTGAAAATTAAACCACAGTATTAGTGACCACTGTAGCCGTGAAGACCCCATTTGACTTCTTAGGAGCTCAAAGTGCCTGTAAGTAGAGTGACTATCAGTTTTTATAGGTGAAGGTTTGCTGCAGGCAGGTAGCTTAAGGAAAGGAGGAGACCCATGGCAATCCGTTTCTTCTGGAACTGAACATGACAAACTAAATTCTACATTGAGCACTAGAGCGTTTTCACTCTATATTCAGGCATAAAGGTGTCCATGAGCCTACATGGACCTCATACCCTGTTATCACTTTGACCAGTGCTGTATCCTTGCAGTTGTACATCGTCTGGTCTGTGTGAATGGCTGTCTGTCACACTGGAGAGAGAGGACTTTAGAAATGAGCATTGGAAGAATCCTTATGCAGAGATATTTCCAGTCAGTGCTGGAAGCACCAGTTTGCCTGGGTTTTGGGATATTTTACTTTAGCATTCTTCCTAACTGTTACAATGCTGTGGTGGATTTTCATCATGTAGTCTTTTATTAAACCCAGATTTCAGCATTACTTTTTTCTGTACTGTCTTAAAATACAAAACCTCTTATCCTTCCTCTTTCTGTAAAAATCTCCTGGTTTATTTTTCTGGTAAAAATCTCCTTCATGTGATAAAATACCCAGATCTGAAGCAGCCCGGAATTTTCAGCATTTGATGGGTAAGCATTGAACTTGCTTAGTGTTTGTGCCCTTTCTCAGAGGTGGGGAGAAGTGGGGAGAAATCAAGATGGGGTATGTTCATCTGAAACAGATTTTTGGAATTTTTTGAAACTCAGTGAATCAAAAAGCTTTTACTATTTAGGTACTGATGTAGTTCTGAATGATTTTAATGCTACCTTCCAAGCTGCTTAGAAATCCAATGCACTCCAGACCAAATGAGGAGCATCTTGTGTGTTTAATGAAGAGGTCAGAAAGTGTCTGAAACTTGTAGGGTGATGGATCTTCAGTGATCTTGAAAGTCTGCAGAGGTCCCAGTTAACTGGAGGCTGGAAGAGGCCCCAGTTTTCAAGAAGGAAAAGAAGGAAGACCCTAGTAATTATAGGCCTGTCTCACTCCAGTGCCTGGCAAAATTATGGAGGAGGTTATTCTGGGAGTTACTGAAAAACATGAGGGAGACAACCAGTCTTTAGTCCTAGCCAACAGGGGTTCATGAGGGAAAAGTTCTGCTTAGCTAACTTACCCTATTTTGACAGGGTCAGCCATCAGATGTGGGTTGTTTTTGTTTTTTTTTTATTTTAGCAAAGCTTTTGATACTATCTGTCACAGTATCCTTTTGGACAGAATGTCCAGCATACGTTTACGTGAGTCCATAATGCATTGGGGGAGCAATTTACTGGTGAGCTGGGCTCAAAGAGCTATAGTAAATGGTGTTTACATGAGGCTGGTGGCCAGCAGCAGTGTGGCTTCCCAGGGGTGATTTAGGGGTCACTGCTTTTTAATGTTTTTATAAACAATCTGGACACAGGTATCAAATTTACAATCAAATTAAGGCAGTTTGCTGATGATACTAACGTAGAAGCAGCTGTGTGCTCCCTTAAGGGCAGAGTTACCTTACACAGTGATCTAGATAGCCACAGAAGTTGAGCAATCACCACTGTATGATATTTAACAGGAACAAGTGCTGGATTCTCCACTTGGGATGAGGTAATCTTTGTATATACAGAGGATGAGAAGCTGGAGAGCAGCCCAGCAGAAAGAGATCCAGGGGGTTGGGTTAATGGCAAGTTAAAGTCAACACTGCCCTGGCAGCCAAACAGGCCAACTGGGTCCTGGGGTGCATCAAGCACAGCATAGCTAGCTGATTGAGGGAAGTGACTGTCCTACACTTCACTGGTGCATCCCCAGCTTGAGTACTGGGTGCAGGTTTGGGCACCGCAATGTGAGAAGGACATCAAACTATTAGTGTGTCCAGGGGAGAAGTGACCAAGATAGTGAAAGGTTTCAGAGGCTTATGAGGAGCAGAGGTCACTTGTTTTTGTTCAGCTTGGGTAAGAGAAGGCTAAGGGTGATCTCATGGCAGTCTTCAACTTCCTCAAAGGGGGGCAGTAGAGTCGGGAGGTGCTGATCTGTCTGTGATGGTTGCAACAGGACACAAGGAAATGGAATGAAGCTGCATCAGGGAAAGATCAGATTGAACATTAGATTGAAAGGCTTCTCAGTGGGAGGGTGGTTGGTCACTGAAACAGGCTCCCCAGAGAAGTGAACCATGGCAACAAGCTTGTTGGAGTTCAAGGAGCATATGTATGACGCTTTTAGTCATATGCCTTAGTTTAAGTTAGTCCTGCAAGAAGCAGGAAGTTTTACACTGGTCCTTATGGGTCCCTTCCAACTTGAGATATTATGTTATTCTAGTAAGAGTTCAGATCAGAGCTGTACCTGCGGTATGTGATTTTGAGGGGTGAAACTTCACTGCATTTAAGGAGGTTTTTCTATTTCTTGGACTCAGAGCAGCTCAGAGTTCAAGTAACTCGGACCAAGCAGTATGTAGGAGACACCAAATACAGTGCCCAAGAGAGTAGCTGTGCGTATTTGAAAAGTGGATATGTCACCTAATCCAAACATTTCATAGCAGTTGTTATGCCGGTACTCTTTCTTCAAAATTAGGTATGTAAAAAGACCCCTCTAAGCTTTACTGAGGTATTACATAATTCATTTTTATGTTTCAACAAAGCACATATAAATGCTTCTATATACTTCTCTTGTTTTCATGAATCATCTTACTCACGAAAGTATTTCATGATGTACAGTAGAACAAGCCTCTGCCCCGTTTTCTCTAGGTTGTTGTGGGTTTTTTTTCATGAAGAAGCTGGATTTTTAAATGGAAGGAGAAGCATTTTATGTTTTAAATTTTATTTGGCTATTTTGGTTTCTGTCGTAACTTGTGACTTCAGCATTTCCTTTCTCCACTGATTTTAATCTTTAAAATATTAGCAGTAAAACATACCGTATGCTCCATAAAAGTTTTATAAATTGAAAAATGCTTTTGTGTTATTTTTCTAGTACAGTCAAATTGATCTGGTGTGTTGCCAACACCTAGATTCTTAGATTCTTCTAATCTGCAGGTATGAATTTCTAAGTGCAAGCTGTGCACAAGATAGAGGAAGACCAAGAATGATACAGCTATCAAAAATATTGCAACAAAAGTTTACATAATTATAGATTACGTATTGTGTTGTATGTTCTGTAGAATATTCCAGTATTCTGTTTATGTCACTATCCTCTATTATTACTTGAAATGGATATATTACTATGTATAACAAATTTTTAATTTCATAATTTATAATTTTGTTTTTAAAAGCCAAAGCTTTCTGCTTTTATGGAAATTATTTTAGCTATTAGCTATTTCCTTTCTTTGACACCCTTGGCAAATTCTGCTGTCATTTTTTCCAAGTCTTTTCTTTGAGTTGCCAAGTTCATTATTGATGAAAGTGGTAGCTGGGGAAATTGCCTTTGTTGAAGGTCAAAACTTGCCTGGAGCGCATAGCAAAAGGTACTTCCTGTCTGGATTAATACCATGTTACTTCCACAAAGTAGAAATTTTATGATTTTTTTTTTTCCCCTCACTGCGTATTGTCATGACTGTTTAAATGTTCATCTTCTCTGAAGTGGAAGTGTTTTTTTGAATAACCGGGAAATGATAGAATAATATTTCCATGGATCTGTTAGTAGTAGTGAAGGAAGAAGAATGTCCAGCTGCATGAAAGGGTATACACTGTGTCATACATAGCCCTGTCTCTTAAAAAGCAAACAAATCAAAAGATGTTTTAAAAAACAAAAACAACCTTCTGAACACAGAAGCTGGATTTTGACGTTGTTTCATGGGCAGTTTCGTGAGCTTGAACAGTATTAGCAACTGTAGAAGTATTTCAAATAAAGCAAATGTTTTGAATTTCTAACATCAACCAAGTGGTGCATCTGCATTTGCAAAATCATGCAAATCATATGTGGAGAAAAAATAGGCATTCATAATTCAGGTTATTCATGCATGCAGATTTTGGGATGGTTTTACCCCTTCTCTAATCTTTATGTATCCATGACAACACAACTTGTTCACATTTCATAAGCAAAGCAGTTAAAAGTGAAGGTTTTAATAATATAAAATTAGCAGATCTACAAGTATTTTGTAAGACATCATACCAAAGCTATGGGCATGAAAATGTATAGTTGTAAAGGTTAACAGGCAGTAACAACTGATTCTCAGAATTACACAAAAAATTATAAAAACTGTCATGTTGTTCAGGTTATTGTACTATTTAAAATCCAGACTGACCTCTTTACCAAGAAAAACCTCTTTTGATTTTAAATGACATTTTATTATTTCAACAAATAATTGTGCTGTTTTAAGTCTTAATTTAAATATGCAAATCATAAAAAGATAAGGAAGTAAATGCGAGTCACTTGCTTTCACTGTGGGGAGCGCTTAAAAAGACTCGTCGTTCTCCTGTAGAGGCCTAATGCAATTGCTTGATTTTGCAGGCACTTTATTGATTTCTCTTTTTATAATCAATTCATTTGTAAAATCTTTTCACATCATCATCCATTAAAGGTACGTGTGAAGACAGGTAATAATATTTGTCTGAATGTGAGCTTGTAAATGAAGGAGAGAAAGCAGAACACAGGCATTTGCTTACCCATACCATTTTCCTCTCCAGAATGTGGGGAGATGTGTAGGGAAAAGATGGAGACAGTCCTTCACCCTGATATTCTCCCTTTTCACCCCACTTCTTTGCTTCAGGTTATTGTTAAATTATCAGAAGTTGTATTCCTGTATTACTTCTGAGTAATCTGGCACTCATCTTGTTCCTTTTCCTTGTCTGATCATCCTACTGGATACAGCACAATCCCACGGATTTCTTCTTTAGTATTTCCACCATCTCACAGGCCGTGAGATTGCAAGATGCTTCTTGTTGCATTGAGTCAGTCTGTGGCTTTTTCTCTCAGTGCCTCATGCATACTTCCCATGACATTCCTCATGCACCTGATTCAGTTAAATTCACAAGTTCTGTGTAACATTCACACTACACCCAGACCATGTATCTCCCCCACCTAATTCTTCTCCCAGCTAATGACCTCTTTTCTGGACATTTCTGTCAAGGGTTCTCAAGGATTGGAATTTTTGAGGGGGATGACAAAACCTGCTGAAGAATAAAGGGATTATATTATTTGCCTCATCCTGCTTTCTTTATGGTAATCCTCAGAAAGCGGCAACACCACAGTGGCCTCTAGTGGGTTTTCAGCCTCTTGTATGCCTCCTGCAGTACCTTTTGGCAGGTCTGTTAAGCTCAGTTTCTGAAGAGGGAGTTGTGTTATGGCCACAAAGGCTTGGTGGCTGTCAACGGTATATTGTTGAACACCCCTGCCGCCTGGGACCTGCCGTCTCTAAAGTCTGGCTTAGTGGATGCAACTTACATAGTGTCTGAAGTGCTTTTGTGAATGGTATTGTGGGATATATAGTAGGGACAAGTGTTCAGTATTAGGTTGGTAGGGATATCCTCTTTAGTCACCTGGAAAAGCATTTGAACAGTAATATTAAAATGGTGTATGTACAGACATTACAGAGCAGAGAGGGATTGGACATTCTTGGTTTGGATGGCAAATTGATAAATCAGCTTAGAAAACATGGCCCTAAATTAAATACAAGTTTGTAACCACTGTGTATGGTAATGAGAAAAGATGTGTTTTCAGGGAGCATTTCTGAGGTTAGTTTTCTTATTACTGTTACAGAGAATCAGGGCTTCACGGAATGCTTCATTTCAGTGTAGTTTGGTATTGTAAAGATGTAGACAAAGTGGGAGGACTTCAGTTAGCAACAAACATCAGGATCTGAGAAGTACTCCTGACGACATCCAGGTGAATTTAAGAAAGTTGCATACAGCTAAATCCCAGCTAAGGAGATAGAGAAAGGGAGAGAAACATTAGTGGATAAATATTTGAGTGATGTAAATGTCAAACAGGTTTTCTCTTCTACACAGTGGTATAAACAGAAAGGATGGAGAAGAAATGAAAGCTCTCTGCTGCATGTCTGAGGAACTTTGCCAGTAAAAAGTAATGCAAAAGCACTGATTCCTGGAAGAAATAAAGGAAGCCCTGTCTGACCAAAGTAACCAGACTGGAGTGGAGGTCTTAGGAAAGAATTTTTATCCTGATTTTAGTTAGAATAGGGCCTTCTTGATTGTAACTGTCATGAGTCGCGTCACTGGAGAGCTCATAGAGCATTTTGTCTTTGGATAGGATGACAGAAACCATCAGAGTGGTTTTGTAATGCTGCCTTTTTAGTTAGTTACAACATATTTCTTATTTGGAAGACTGCTTTTTGTGTCTTACAACTTTAAATAATAATGCTACTATATTTTCTGGAAGTGGCTGGGAGGAGGTCTTTGATCTACAACTTGTTACATTTAACTTCTAACTACCTCTGTAGCCTTTTGGTGGGTTACTGAACTAAAACTTGCTTATCAGCCTTTTCTCTTTGAGCAAGTGTTATCAGTCAATATCTGAGGCTTTTGTTTGTTTTTTAAAAGTCGTGGCTGAAAGTAATGTTTGCTAGACTAAAATTACTGCCAGCTATTCCTGCAATCAAATAGGTTAGTGTAAAAGGAATAGTAATATTTACTTCAGGAATACACGCTAAGGACTTTCTTTTTAAATTTGCAAATTGCAGACAACTCCAGAGCAGGAATTTTAATCATCTTTGTTTTACACAATTAGCTGAGATAAGTAGGTCGCCAATTTCAGCTGCATAAGTAAAGAAGCTGATGTGGACTTACAGGTAATCAAAAAATGAAAACTGCTGGCAGAGAACAATTAAAGGCAGGTCTTGCGTGGTGTGTTGATACTACCATCATTCAAATGCCACTTCCGTAAAATGTTTAGCAGAGTGTATTATAGGTTTCATTATAAATAAACAATGTGTGTTGTCTGAAGAAAAAGAGATGATGAAAGATTTCTTTTATAGTGCTTTAAATATTATAAGTTCTTAAGATTTCTTTGTGTAATCGTTGCTGAATGTCATATTAAAATGAAGTCATAAACTTCTGAATGAAGTCATATTGAAGCTCCCAAAAGTTAAAATCAGCTTCTTTCATTGTAGCTTGACTTTTAAGGTAAAAATAAATCCTTGCTTTTTCTAATCCCGTGTAATCTAATTGCAGTTGATGAGTAAAGAGTCTCCAGTCTCTGTTGGAAATGATGCTTACGTTGACCTTGATCGGCAGGTATCTAAGACTAGATGTTTTATTTTCCTTCAGTCATAGCACATCAGTGGCTAGCGGCTTTGCTTTATTAATAAGTCTTTTTTCTTTAATTGTGGGAAATTCAAACAAGAATTAGAAAACTAAATTTCAGTATTTCAAGTCCTCTTGCTTTATAAATTGTGTTTAACCATTTATAAATTGTGCTTAACCATTTTGTGTATAAGGAGAGAAAAGCTCAATTTGGAAAACAAGTTTAGCTGTATGACATAATATTGCAAAACTGCAGACCAGTCCCTATCTTTGGGTATTGAGAAAAAAAGGGAATAAAAAAAAAAAGAAAAAAATTAGTATTTGAATATAGCTTTTTTTTCTAATTCCTACTTCTAAAGTTTGTTAAAAGAAACAAAACAAAACAAATAGCCCAACCCAAAACCAAACAAAAACCCCCAAACACACAAAATACCCCACCCAAAACAACAACAACAACAAAAAAACCCACCAACACATAGATGTGGCTCAAAAATCCTTAAAGCACTCCTGGGAACTCCTGCAATATGTGAGAGAAGTTTTTGGAGAGAATCTTTGTCTGTGTGATATATCTAAAGAATATGCAAAATAAACTGTTTTCTTTACTAGCTTAACCCATGGTAACACTGTCCTACTTTCTCAATTTTTTTTCTAATTGTGAAGTAGTACTGTACAGTGGTGTTCTATGTGTTCCTCCATCATGTGTTTTCTGCAGAAGTATGTAAATTCTGACAGATGGAATTAATTTTTCTGTGTCAACACACCTTTGAGAAATAAACTTGAAAAAATAAGATGCCATTATTCTGGTTGAGAAAGGCCATCTAAAATTCAACATAGATAATGGTATAGCTCTATATACAGAATATGTATGCACATGTTTTATCAGTTGAATTTTCTTTTAGCTATTTTGTTTTTATTAACTGCATTCATATGCAGACTTGCAAGACATGTGTCTTTAAACATAAAACCTTTGAAGAAAAGCATTTGACTATTGCCCACTGGTTGAAAGATTCAGTGCCCTTTTTAAGAAGGATAGGATTCTCCCTTGCCATATTAATTGTGTTCCTGTTGTTCAGTAAGTGTAGCTTCCAGTGACCAGAAATTTTACCCTATTTGTCCACCCTCTGTATTCCACCTTGCAGTCCTTTTTGTATTTGAAATGTAGATTGAAAACAAATTGTGCAGTCTTTGCATTCGTAAAGAAAAGTGGTATAGACAGTTTTTTCACTGTACAGAATTGATGAGGTATTCAGACACAAGTTCTTCAGGGCTTTTTGACTCAATTTGTAGAATAGATGTTATAATTCTAATGTATTTTTCTAAGACCAAATAATTACTTTTAAGTATGTTTACTTTTTACTGTCACACAAACTAAAGAGTAATTGTACCTGCTTTTTTTGTTCCTTTCTAAGAATGAAATTGCCTCAGTTTTCAAAAAGTTAATATATTACCTAAATACAAAAATAATTTGATAGCCAGATAGTTCAGAATATTTTTTATCCACGTCACAGAGAGTGATGAAGTATAAATGTTTGTTGTTTATGATAGCTGAAGAAAACTACAGAAGAATTAAATGAAGCACTATTAACAAAAGAAGAAATTGCCCAGAGATGTCATGAGTTAGATATGCAGGTAAGTTTGCTATACTGTACATGTTGATTTTGAAGTGGGAAAGAGATGTGTAATTTTTAGGCAGATGAAAGCAAGAAGTGTAATGTAGAAACAATAATTTTTAAAGGGAAATGAAAATGGCACAGTAATTATGTTGCTTTACTTGTGCTGACAAAGAGAATTTCATTGTTTTGTTACCGTGATACAGGGTTGCCAGTATTAAGGTGATTCATACTGACAAACCTTTTTTTCATTCAGTTAGGAAGGGGTTGGGTTGGGTGGTTCAGCTCATGCTTTAGAGAACTAATTGCGGTTATGCTGCTGTAACAGTTACAGCTAAATGTTAAATCACAATCAGAAGTTATTGTAGTCTGTCACTGTCTATGGATGTAGACAAAGCTTTAGTGTAAATCAGGTGTACCTCATTCAGAAGACATGAAGAGTGTAAAGTGGGAGCCCTGAAAGGCTCTGCCATTGTAACCCTACTTTGGAATATCCTTCAGGCTTTTGTCAAGCTGTTCAGTAGCTGTTAGAATTGACAAAGTTGATGTGTGTGTCATGGTTGATTTTGGTGTATCTGATGATTCAAGCTTTTATTGAAGTTTTTCCTTCTGTCAGGATGTTTGCAGTCCCTCTCTTCCCCTCTTCCTCCTCCATGTTAACGCTGTACTATTTAATAACACATGAACCCGTGTTCAGCTGTTGCTTGAGTTGCAGCACTCTGGGTTCTTCGCAGTACTTCCTGGTCTTGCAGTGTTGGTGAAAACACGATTCATCTTCTTTGGGACTGTGTTCCTGTTTCAGGGCTGCTTGCAAAGGACCACTGTTTTGGTTTTTTTAAATAGATTAATTAATTAATCCTGAAAGGGCAAAGCCATACCTTGAGTATGCAGAGTTGAATATTCTTTGTGATTAACAGGCATTGTTTCTCTTGGAAATTAGTTTCAAAAGCCTTGCTGTGGAGAGCTAGTTTTATTTGTTTGTTGGGAAAGAATGCAGACTTTATTATAATGAAGCTCCCTTGTATGCTGAGACATTTTCTTTAGAGGCTTCTGTGAAATAGTTAAGAGTAGTTGCGTTTTCTGTGTCACATCACATAGCAGTTGAATACCTATTAATGTTACAGTATATTCTTGGGAAGTGTGATTACTGAAGCCTATGATTTTCCATTTGTGGGTTGTTTTGATACTTTGTTATGCACAAACAAAAAAAAATTGTTCTCTGTAACTGGATAGCTCAGTTATTCCAGTTTATGCTTTTTCTACAATAGGTTGCAGCTCTCCAGGAGGAGAAGAGCAGTTTGCTTGCTGAGAACCAGATTTTGATGGAACGTTTAAATCAGTCTGATTCTATTGAAGATCCCAACAGCCCTGCAGGTCGTAGGCATCTGCAGCTGCAGACTCAACTAGAACAACTCCAGGAAGAAACATTCAGGTAGAAAAGCTATGCTTGGTTGGATTGTAGCTGGCAACGGGCATGATTTATATACTTCTGTTTCTCCTGGCAATTCTGAATTAATGTAATAAGTGGTGTAATCACAGTAGTAAAGTTTTTACAATTATGTACATGTTAAGATTTACCTCTTTACAGGCTCCAGTATAAAAAAAAAAAATGTGTGATTTCTTAATGCTGAAATGCTGTATACATGTCACTCTCTACCTTTTGAAGTTGTTTTGAATTGTGTGCAATCATTTCACTCATGTTTTTCAGGAACAGTGAGAATGAGTAGCATGCTTTCCTCTATGTAAATTATTCTGATTGTATTTTTAAGGTGTAGGAATTCTTACATAAAAGTTTGCTTTGGGCAGTACTACAGGTGGTATTGTTATACAGTAAAGTGTGTCTTCCTTTGAGTTTGAAAACAAATTGTTTAATATCTGAAAAATGGGGATTATCTGCAAGTGAGCTCTGCTCTTCATTTGCATTTCCTTAACACTTGGAAATACAGTTCTTGTTTAAACATCCTTCCTGGTCCTTTTAACTGTTGCCTTCAGGCTGTGTAAACCTGTTCTGCTAAGATAAAGCTGGTCCACTTCATCATCTTCTTTTCATTCTTTTTGCTGTACTTTCACTATCCTTTGTGAATGAAATCATATTTGTATTGCCAGTTTTTCTTCTCTTTGTCCTCTTCTGGTTGCCCTTTGCTAATTCTTACGTCTTTTTAATTTTTTTTCTTTTTTTCCCTGTTTTACTTTTTTCCACTTAGTCTTGCTAGGCCTCTTTTTTCCTGGGGACTCAGGCACACTGTCTTCCTTCAGTTTCTTGAAAAATGCTCAGTATTCCTCTTTCACAGCAATTAGTACCTGGTTTTCTTCTTTCTATACATCTACCATGTAAAGGAATATGTACTCATGTGTCTCTAGTGTCCCCTTTTATCTCTCCTTATTCATCCCCATGCTCTGGAATGGTTTCAACCTGAGTTTGTTATCAGTTGCAGTTTGAAGATGTTTTCTCCCCACATCCAGTATCTGCACTGCCTGCTACTCTAGTTTCAGGTAGTGAAGATCTTTCTAAACCCTTTTCACACGTGAGATTCATTTTTCAAACTCCTTTACCTCCTTCCCCTGCCTTCCTAGCATGTGGGTTTCTAATGGCAATTTATATGTATTCCTTCTCCAGCTCTGCCTGACGAAACAGGACATTTGTACAGCATAACTGATGCCTAGTGTGATATAACAGTTTTTCTCCCAGTCTTGTCTCTTTATGTCCTTTGACAGTTCTGGTCTATTACAATGCAAGTCTTTATTGTGTATGGTTTAGATGATCTATTTCTTTAGATGACCCATGACCTTTAGATGACTATCTGTTGTCTTCATTCTTGTAGATTCTTTTTGAATCTGCTTGAATTAATGGATAATTTTTTTTTTTTTATTTTATGCCCATACCTCCTTTTCTGGATGTGTTTTATCTTCATTCCAGATAAAAATCACAGTAAGACTTCATGTTCCAGATTGTGTCCTCTTAACATTGGTTCAAAATGCTTTGTTGAAGTTTTTCTTAGTTACGCCCTTTGTTCACTGACATTTAAATGCAGCTTTGCCTGTGTATGCCGTATGTAAGTAGTTAAGAATCTTTGGTCTGAGTTGTTTACATGCTAACTAGATAACTAAATGTATGACTTGGTTCTTCAGAGGTACTGGGCATGCACATGTGCTTTTAAGTAAGAAAGTAGATAAATAAAACCACCTTGATGAGAGCTCTACAGTATTTAAAACATCGGATAATTGGGTTAATATTGCTGAAGGCGTGTAGGATTTGAAGAGCTAAACAAAATCTTAGGATAAAGGTTTCATGTTAAAACTTTCTATGCTTCAAGATAAAAAACGTGGGAATTTTTGCTTGAGCTCTGTTGTGAACAATCACTTTGACAGAAAAAACTCAGGATTTGTATTTCTGACAATATACATTTCCTTCTGATCTTCCCCATAGAAATACTGCTATCAACTTTGAAGCATCAAAAAAGTCAGTCTGGATCTACGTTTTTGAATAAGCATATTGGGTTGCTGTTCTCCTTCACTGCACCAGAAGGACACTTCATGTGTTTTTTGGAGAGGATGATGAGGAATGGTAACTGGCTGAAGCTGAGAAATTTTCTGTTTTACTTAATTTCTACAGATTAGAAGCTGCCAAAGATGACTATCGAATACGCTGCGAAGAACTAGAAAAAGAAATTGCTGAATTGAGGCAACAAACAGAAGAGCTTACTACATTGGCAGAGGAGGCTCAGTCTTTGAAGGATGAGATAGATGTGCTAAGGTAAGCTCTGTTCCATTAAGTTTTTCTTTTTTTTTATTTAACTAACTTTTAATCTATATAAATCATATGTACTTAGTCTTCATTAGTTCTTGTTTAAATAATTTTAGTATTAAATATAAACGTTTTCTCAATGCCAAAGCTATTTTGGATCCTCTAGTTAATTACCTATACCACCGCACAATTCCACTGAAGTAAATTAGTTGTTATCTACCTAATCAATAAACTGTTAATTTAGCAATCCTACGTAATGTTGTCACAAGAAGTCACTCACTGGTCTTTTGAGGTGCTCTGCTCCCCTTCATCATGACTTGGGCATCTGCTCTCACCCTTTTCGTTCCTGGGTTTGCATTATTTGGACATTGGGTGGCGCATTCGGTTCATCATGTAGTGTTAGTATAAGCAGTATCTGTTAAAGCTCTCTTTGCCACTTGTGTTTAGAACCCAAGTTGAAATGATTTGATGCCCTTAACTGTGGAACTATGAAACATTTTTAAGTAGTGACATCATGCTGCCATGGGTTATTCAGAACAATTATCCATTACCTACCTGTATCACTCTTTCTGGCAAGTCTAGCAAGGCATATTTTAATATTGCCTTATCTAATTCACCAGCAGCTTTCTACCAAAGCTATCTGTGAGTGATAGTGTCTGAAAGTATCCCTATCAATAGCTGTTTGAGTTGACAAGTATCTATGGGAGGGGAGCAGGCAATTTAAAAGTATAAACATTAGTAACAGGAGGATATGGTTGCTTTCTTCTTGCTGTGACGTCTCAGGATGTGTTCTGCATTAAGGCAAAGTATGAGGAAGCTTCAGGACATTTAATTCGTCAGTTTTCAGAGTACAAATTTAATAAAAATCTGTCTCTGCAGGCATTCTTCTGATAAAGTAGCCAAGTTAGAAAGCCAGGTAGAGTCATACAAAAAGAAATTGGAAGATCTGGGTGATCTGCGACGGCAAGTAAAACTCTTAGAAGAGAAGAATACAATGTACATGCAAAATACTGTGAGCCTGGAAGAAGAACTAAGGAAGGCCAATGCAGCACGTAGTCAGCTGGAAACATACAAAAGACAGGTGAGAACAGACATTGTCAATGCAACAGTTCTCTGTATTGTTCAATACTTTCCTATCATAACATGGCTAATACCTCAAAGTAAGAAAGAAATTATGAACAAACAGCCCTTGTGTTTAGAAGACTTCCATTTTTTTTTTTGTAGGTATTACCTTTGTCCTGCTTTTTTGCAATTACTGTCATTATTTCAGGTTTACATTAGTTTGCCAATAAGCAGTATTTCTTACTTTTAAAAAATTAACAGATGTGTTTTGCTCAAATTAGTCCTAATTCGTATTCAGTAGCAAAGCTTGAATTAGAGACCCCTCTTTCAGAAAAAGTGTCCAATTTTCACTTACAAACTTCCAGCAGTGAGGAACACACAACAGATGAGGTAAGTTATTCTTGTAGCTAAGTAATATCTTTTTGAGGTTCCAGTTTTGTCTGAGTTTGTCCAGTAAAGAAGAGAGAAGGATGCATATCATCCCTGTTGTTTATATGCACCCATTAGAGTACAACATGTGCCACCAGCATGCTCTCTGAATAGCATCTGTTTATACTTCTGCTTGTCAAAGTACCACGTGATCCTTTTTCTGTAAAGGTGAAAGGTGTGCTTAATCTACTCTCTGCTTCTATGCTACATTGACATGGCATCATTCTGGGATTCTTGTTACAGGGCCAGGCAGAGTGGTGCATGAATGGTTGTGTTACAGGGGTCCCTGTATGTCAGCTTACAGCAGAATAAGAATACAGGGATAACCACTAATAACAGTACAGGGCCAGGAGCAGCGGCAATGTGTCCCGAAGACTCAGTAGCTTTTTTTCTTGCATCTGGGCATTTTAATTAAGACTATTAGCTTTGGCACCTCCAGACTAATTGTAACAGTTGAAATTATTCCACCAGAAAAAACAACTTGGTCAAGAAAAATGCAGAAATAACTGACAATGAAAGGGAAAAGTAAATGTAGAAAGCAATTGCCTTTCACATATGACTAGTATCATGTTTGCTGGCAACAAGTATTTTGCTCCATTGAACAGCTAAGCGTGTGAAACAGTCGTGTAACCTTGACATCTGCATCTGGTCATCCATAGTTCACCAACAATAAGGATTTTGGAATGGGAAGTCCCATCATTTGTGCTGCAAAAATATTCCTCCTTTTCTTGATCATTCTCTGTTTATTAGGTAGGATTTAATGTCTGAGGAGCTGTTGATTTACATAAAACTGTTCTGCTGGCTGAGACTGCAGCAAGCCCTGAGGTGTCTTGTGGCAGATGACAGTTTTCTTTACCTAACCACAGTGCCTCAAAATCAACACACTGTCTTTGCCTTCAGTGTTTGTAAGGCTGGAGATCTTGTCCTTGACACCTCCTGTGAATCATAAAATTAATTTCTGGGATTCCTAAACTGTGTTATAAGAATTAAGCCAGATGTAAGGACTTTGGTGTTAAGTCACTGCTGGGCACGAGTGTGCCCTTGTTGTGGAATGTATCTTGTCTGGTGTGCGAAGGATCCAGCCCCACTCATGATGATGCCATCAAAGGATTTACTTCGTTGGCGTAAAAGCTCAGTGCTGTACAGAGGAAAGTGCTTGGTTCAAACTCTTGGAGCAGTCTTCATGGGAATCACATCTTCACCCCACCAGCAGTTTCTGTGAGATGAGGTTGTTGGTGCTGGGAGATGTAGTAGCATTTATTTGATTTGAGAGGTTTTGTTCACTGTTCTAAAGCAAGTACAAGTATTTTCTTAGAAACTTTTTATTGCAGGATGGAGAACTGAATATGAAGATCCCAGGATTTTTTTTTTTTTTGTAATATTAATTCAGCCCCTTTGTGCATGTGCATTCTGATAAATTTTTAACAGTATGTCTTGCTTTTCTTTGCTGCCAGATTCCTGCTTTATTCATTCCACATGTCAGATAATGCTCAGTAAATGTGATGGCAGTTCATTTTTGTTGGTTTTTTTTAGTCTTCTTCATTATCATGTAGCTGTATATCTCTATATGCTCACAAGTCCTGATTCCAGACAGTTTATTTCCTGCTCTGTTTTTCTGCATACCATCACCATAGCATGAGTGATTGCAAACACTAATGCATTTGTAGTTACTGATAGCCTCAGTGATGGATGTCACATCTGAGAAACAAAATATTTTCATATCTAATATTTGATAGCTATATTTTTTTTAACCTCATAATCTCAGAAATGGCAGGTCTGTGCTTTTTTTTGCAGCCTTTAATTGAAGAACAGTAGCAGTCCTTCTCTGAGACTTAAGATCATGCAGATTTTTAGAGTTAGTAGTTATTTTGCAGTAGGTATACACATTGAAAATAAAAGATAATGAGAACCACTAGGCAGTCTTAGTGTAGGTATAGCTACTGCTTTGCTTCACAATTTAAGATAATTACTTTCTCTGTATCTAAAAGCCATGGAAAAGCCTTCTTTTGATTTGCTTCAGAAGCAGCTGTACTTCTCCAGCTGAGTCTTCATTCAGGTTTTGTGTTTTCAGGTAGTCTTTATTCAGCTTACTTCTTTCCATGCTCTCTGCATTATGAGCTTTACTAATGTGCTAGGAATGAACCTTTGATAGTAGAAGCTGAGAGTTTCAAAAAGGCAAGACTTTACTGACATGCCTCTTATTCAGTGATCGTTTCAGCTCAGTTTTCAGATTTCTGCTCATTTAATTTTAAAAGCTCTTTACTGATCTGTAGTTAAAAGAATAAATGTGATATTGTTAGCAATATTTCCTTCTGAAGTAAAGAAAACTGTTTATAAGCCTATGGCTGAATCTTTATACTAGTGTATTAAAAATTATTAAACACATCCCAGATTAAGAAATGATACCTGATGGTGCAAACTGGTGGCTGAATTCTGAGTGAGGCTTGTGAAACAGAGTTAAGAAAAGCTGTAGATAATTTTCTTCCTTCAGAATGTTTTTCTTTCTTCTGGGCTTCTCAGAATGCAGGAGGACTTTTCTACTTTTCCTAAGCTCTTTGATCCATAGAACTATGTATTTTTTTCAGTAAAACATGCTTGGACTTAAATTCTTGGATTTAGATGTACTGAAAACAGTTCACAGCTTTTGCTTCTTTTGCTTGTGCTAAGACCTAATATTTGAATGCTGGTGGTTTTGCTGAACACAGAAACACATGATAAAAGGAGTTTTTAGTATGTTCTATAGGTTAACTATTTCAGTTGTTTACAACATGACTTGTGGTGCATGGTAATTGGCTACTTTGTCTTCTGTATTTTGTTCTGATATTAATATTTGTAGACAAATTATTGATTCTTGTTCTCACAGGCAGTTGAACTACAGAACAGGTTATCTGAAGAATCCAAGAAAGCTGATAAATTAGATTATGAATGCAAACGACTGAAAGAAAAAGTAGACAGCCTCCAAAAAGAAAAAGATGTAAGTGCCAAGGTGTTATTTTTTTTGGTAGTAGCGATACCAACTTTGTGTCCTTTATAACACAGATGTGTAATTACAGTTAGCTATTTACAGCTAGCTTTCTAAATTAGGAAGTCTTAAGTTAAAGTTTTCTAATGTTTGTGTACAAGATCCTTTTAAAACCTAAGAACTGTACAGCATGGAGTAACATGACTGTACAAAACCTTATGCACAGATTTTTAAGAGGAACAGCCTTCATATTTGGGGTCTGGAGTTGTTTCTTGAACATTACCATGAGGAAGTTAATGAACACTGAGGGTAATTGTAATGCATTTTGAAAATCTGTTTAAAGTAGGGTTTCTGCAGTATCATGGTAGAACTAAACTTCTGTTGCATATTTCTAAAGCATTCTTTGAGAGGTACATCAGCATGCTTCTCTTTGTGGAGTCGTGACTATTGCAGCAAAAGGCTTAGGAGTCATGTAAAGGGACATGTCATCTGTGGCAGTCTTGCCCTTACGACAGCTCGTTGCTGATCTGTCTTGTACTACCAACATGGAACGCACAGGGTGGATACCAGTCTATTTCTTCTTCTCTGTCATTTGCTAATAGAGATTCTACAATTAATTGCTGTGTCCTCTTGCCAAGACTGATCCTTCAGACTTCTCTTGCACACTATTGTTTCTCACCAGCTTATTTCAGCTTCTTTATTAATGTATATGCAAGTGCCTCAAACTGCCTCAAACCAAGGCCTGCACTTTGAGTTAGCAGTTGAGTTGCCTTGTTTTAAATGTAAGTCCATCTGTCCATCAGTCAGAAGCTCTGTAGGCTTTTCCCTCAGTGGCCATATTTCCTGTCCAGTTCTTTCAAAAATTTCCAGCCCCTTCACTTTCATAGCAATTGAACTGAAAGTTTTCAGTTATTTTCTGTTCGTAGCTTTTTGATTTTCGTATTCTTGTTAAATTCTCAAGCTGTTGTGGACACCTGTCCTTGGTATCACCTCCATCTGCCCTTCAGTTCAGATTGGAATGCCTATAGTAACTGTATTTGTACTGTGCTTTGGCTTTCTTTCCTGCTCTTTATTTAAATTGTTTTACCAGTTTTGTTATGTTTGACAATGGTAAGGATTTTTCTGTGGCTTATCCATCGCTTGGTGGACCATTTCATCTTGCACAAAGGATCTGAATTGCAGGCCATTGTCATACGATTTTCCATTTTACCCCTAATGAATAGCATTTTTAGGAGTGGATGTTGTTTTTTAATGCATTCTTTTGAATGGATATGCACCTGTGAGAAGTAGATTATAGCTGAATTCTCTCAACATTTGAATTAGTGATTCACTACCTATGTTCCCTACTCTCTGTTCTCTGTTGTCACATAGGTATCAGTAAGGTTGTCCACTACAGGTCACAAGCTATGTAGTGGTATCTTGTCAGTTACATTTTGCCAGCAGTTGCTGAAATTTATTTTTTCCCCTTTACGTTGTGGCAGAGTTCACTATCTTCAGCTATGTGGCTTGGAATTTTATCTCTGTGGTGTGTTGTATGAGAAGTACTAAGATAATTTGATGAGTTGACTTTGTCTGCAGTGTACAAAAGAAGCCTAGAGCTTTTTCTATCCATTAAAATATTCTAGCATTTTATTGGTGTTCTCTGATAGACTAGCGGACTGTGGAATTCTTGCTATCAGCAGCCGATTTAGAGCATGTGTCTATGTGGCTTTTCTTCTGTAGTATTTATGGAAAAAAATTCACCTGTGGGGTTTGTGAAATGACTCTCAGTGCTAACAGAATGTGCACTTTATTCAGATTGTTCTGACAGTTGCACCAGAGTTTACCTTGCAGGAGTCTGTCTCACACTTCACCGAAATGTCCTTTGGCTGTGATTCCAAGTCGCAGATCCATTTGGGCTTAAGTATAAAATACAGCAAAATCAAACTGTTAATAGGATGCAATGCAAGGAGCTGTCAGCTGACACAACTCCATATCTACACAGACATGAGGTCTGCCCTGGACCTTTTAGTAGTACTGGACATGTCTGGTTCTGGAGTGTAAATTTTGAGCAGAATTTTTGGAGCAACTTCAGTGCCTCTGTAGTTGCCATTTTCTCCTGTAATTTTTTAGTTTTGGCAAAAAACTACTACCTGTAGATTCTCAACTTCTTTTGCTAAAAGGAAATTTGTGACAAATTGATGGAGTATTTACCTGATGCTATTGAAAAGCCCATCTGTCTAGACCCCAAGGTGGTCAAGCTCTGTTCTCCAGTTCTCTTCTGGTGGAGCTTCAAGTAACTAGTTGTCTTCCATAGCTAAGATGGCTGGTGAATTATGAGGCCAGTTGACACACAGGAGGAAGGGGATAGGGAAATGCTGCTTACACTTTCACTGTAGAAAGACAAACAAAATGAAGTTAATGCAGTTTGTTTGTTATGTTGACTGTGTACTCACCTGCTTTTTGTTTCACTCCTGGTTAAACCTTTGTTTCTTGGTCAGGTAAAATCCGATAAAGGGAAAAGGACAATGGCCCCAGTAGATACTACTTACAACCTGGTACCAGAAATTTGTATCACTCATATCTTTATTTTCTAAGCTTATACACTGATATCCTTACCTCCACAAGCTTAATACAGAGCACAACCTTTCTCAAAAAAAACCCAAACAAACAGCATTCTTATGGAGTATATAATTTTTATGTTTTTTTTCTGTTATGAAATACAGAGATGCCTTAATTTGAAAATTGTCTCTACAGTTGCAATAGATTTGTTTTAAAGTGTTACATGCTATGCCTTTTGGTAACTTGTGTACTGTTAAAAATGGATTTGTAGTGCTAAGATTGATACTCATTCTCTTTTGAATTATTCAGAGATTAAGAACAGAAAGGGATTCTTTGAAAGAAACTATTGAAGAGCTTAGATGTGTCCAAGCTCAGGAAGGTCAACTCACCACTACAGGTAAAGGACAAATAAGGAGATTAAGTGCATCTTTTCTAAAGTACCGTGGAGAGTACTGAATGTGCTTTTGTTGAGCAGTGAAAAGCTGCTTGAGTTGTGAATAACTTTATGAGCATTTGAAAACTTTAAATGTTGTTTCAGTCAATGAGAAATTTTGGTCTCCTCCCCAGTGGAGAAATCCATTTTGAAATATATTTCTGATTTCTGTGCAGTTACATAATTTTCTTTAAACACATCATAAATTCTCTCTCTTGTGTATGAAGTTTCATGTGTTGCAGTTTATTGTTATGTGTAATGTTGCACAGCTTTGTAGTTCTTAAATAAGCTAATGGGCAAAAAATCCACAAAATTATTTTATCAGGATGAAAGAAGACAGTAATGATTATTCTTCTAATGAAATAGTGGTTGTCTATCTGTCTTGCTGCAGCCTGACTTTGTGTCATTTTCCACTGTCTAGCATTACTCTAAAACTGTAAACTTGTAGAAAAATGTCTGCTTCTGGTCTTTTAAAAGAAGTTACTGGTCTTCTCGCTAATTTTTTTACTTTCCTAACCAGGACTGATGCCTCTGGAAAGACAAGAGCCTTCAGACAGTTTAGCAGCAGAAATCATTACTCCCGAAATAAAGTAAGCTAATGTGTGCTTCGTTTTACTAATCTCTACAATGTACATCCATAGATGATTGGTTATTTTTCAGTGCTAGAAAGTTTCTGTGATTAATGTTTGGGGTTTTTTCTCTTCTTTTTGATTCTGCACAACAGGAACTGCTATGCTTAAGACAAAATTCCATTGACCTCTCTTTGGGTTTGTACTGTCCTCAAAAAAAAAGGGGATGGGGGGGAACCAAAAACCCCCTTTGTCCTCAAATTGTGTCTCTTATGGTTCTGCAAAGAGTTCGTATAATGGCAGCTTATATGTGCATTAACAGGCAGAAATGTTTGTAACAAGAATGTGGTGTTGTACAAGGAAAAAATTACTAAAATTGTGGAAGGAAGAGTAGGCTATAAATCCCATTTTGTATCATGGCAAATGTTTACAGTCTATTAAAAGGAAGAATAGCAGTGGCAGAGCTGAAAACCATTGTTTCTTAAGATGTTTCGTACTGCACTTAGCCTTGCCAGTATGCTAAAAGATTTTAAGACAGCCATGTCTCAGGAATCTCTTAGCTCTTTGGGAAGTATTTTCTTTTGATTAGGAGAAAACTCCAGGAACAAACTTGCCAACAAAGTTTCCAAGCTGACGAGCAGGTATTCTTTATTGCGGTGCCAGGAGACACAGGGGATAACTCCTAACGTGTGTCCCCGTGTTGCTACACAAGCCATCCTTATATAGTCCGTGTGCATACATACATATCCATGAGGCTACGTATGGATTACATCATTTTCCAGAGAGTTCCCCGCATGCGTACAGAATTGTGGTGGTGGTCTCTGAGGGTCGTTTACTTCTTCCAACAATCTTCATAACTTCTGGCAGCCTTTGAAGCACGCCCAGTAGATGCTCATACCAGTTTAACTGGTTCGTTAGCACCAGAGACATAATAATCCTCCTGTCCTCCTACTTATCAGTTGGTTTAACTGTAGCCCATCCTGGACACCTGCAGTTCCCAGGTACCCCTTATCCCTGTGTCCTGTGTTCTTCTAGACTGTTTTTCTTAAAACTAGGCCAACTATAACGATTTATCTTGTGAGAATTCTCAGTATGTTCTCTAGCTGTACTCTGTTTTTTTTTTTTCCTCTATGTATCATGCACCTCAGTAATTTTCCATTGCTACTGTTACAAAGCCATCAAACTTAACATTACTTAAAACTAATGATAAAGGTTTCTATATTCCATTTTGTGATTTTTGTGTCCCTTTGTCTCACTTTTACCAGTAGTGATACTGATGTTAACACTTGGAGAGCTCAGTATGGGTCAAAGCTTATATTCAGTAGTAAAATAATATCTTTCTAGAAAGGTGTTGATAGAGAAGATTTATTTTTCTTTTGGGCACTTAGCCTCAGTGAGCTGAAAGACATCATAAGGGGAGCAGAACGAAGCCCCCATAATCCAAGGGGAAATGATGAGCAACCTGCTTACCATTTAGACACACATTTCTATGAGACTGGATGGGATCCGGGTGGGGGACTCAGGGAGCTGGTGGAATTGCTCACCCAGACACTTTCCATAATTTATCAGCAGTCCTGGCTAACCAGGAAGGCCCCAGTGACTGAAGGCTAGCAAATAGGATGCCCATGTAAAAGAAGGGCCAGAAAGAGTATCTGAGGAACTGCAGGCCTGTCAGTCTGACCTCAGTGTTGGGGAAGATCATGGAGCAGATCACCCTGAGTACCATCACATGGCACATTCAGGACCGCCAGGTGATCAGGCCCAGTCAGCATGGGCTCATGAAAGGCTAACTTTATCTCCTTCTATGACAACATGACCTGTTTAGTGGATGAGGGAAGGGCTGTGGGTGGTTTTTACCTGGACTTCAGTAAAGCCTTTGATGCCATTTCCCACAGCATCTCCTGGGGAAACTGGCTGCTCATGGCTTGGATGGGTGTACTTTTCACTGCATAAAAAACTGTATGAGAAGCCCAAAAAGTGGTGGTGAATGGAGTTAAATACAGGTGGTGGCCAATCACAAGTTGTGTTCCCCAGAGGTCAGTACTGGGGCCGGTTCTGTTTGGTGTCTTTGTCAGTTAGAGTGGATCTGCTGGAGGATAGGAAGGCTGTGCAGAGGGATCTGAACAGGCTGGATTGATGGGCTGAGGCCAATTGTATGAGGTTCAGCAAGGCAAAGTGCCAGGTCCTGCAACACCATGCAACACTCCAGGCTTAGGGAACACAACAACCCCATGCAACTCCCCAGGCTTAGGGAAGAGTGGCTGGAAAGCTGCTTGGCAGAAAAGAGCTTGGGGGTGCTGATTGAAGGAGCTGAAAATGAGCCAGTTTGTGCCCAGGCAGCCAAGAAGGCCAGTGGCATCCTGGCCTTTGTCAGCAATAGTGTGGTCGGAAGGGCCAGGGCAGTGATCATCCCCCTGCACTCAGCATTGGTGAGGCAGCACCTTGAATCCTGCGTTCAGTGCTGGGCCGCTCACTACAAGCGAGACATTGAGGTGCTGGAGCAGGTCCAGAGAAGGGCCACAAAGCTGGTGGAGGGTCTGGAGCACAAGTGTGATGAGGAGTGGCTGAGGGAACTGGGGGTGTTGAGTCTGGAGAAATGGAGGCTGAAGGGGAGCCCTTACCACTCTCTGCAATGATGTGAAAAGAGGTTGTAGTGAGATGGGGGTTGGTCTCTTCTCCCAAGTAACATGTGACAGGACAAGAAGAAACAGCCTCAGGTTGCACCAGAGGAGCTTTCGGTTGTGTGTTGCAAACATTTCATGTCCAAAACAGGTGTCAAGCATTGGAACATCCTGTGCAGGGAAGTGGTCAAGTCACCATCCCTGGAAGTGTTCGAAAGACATATAGACATGGCCCTTAGGGACATGGTTTAGGGGTGAACTTGATATTATTAGGTTAATGTTTGAACTCGATGATCTTAAGGGTCTTTTCAAATGATGATTCTTGTATTCTATAAAAACACACCCACAGAGTAGAATTAACTGACCCAGGTTCATGCAGTAGTTTAGTGACACTTGAGGTTATATCTTTAACACTTGGCAGCAAGCTTCATATTCTACCTATAAATCTGCCCAGCCTGTAGTGTGGAATCTAATAGGGGCATTCAGGCAGCATCCTTGTATTGTACTTTCTACAGTTACAACTCATTTAATTGAGTTTGTAGTTAGGGGTTTAAAGACAAGATGATTGTTTCAGTTGTCCCCCTTAAATAGGTAATCTGTATGTTATATTTACAACTTCTGTGGTAAACTGTTTTCTTCTTTATAGAGATTGGCATACTCTTTTCTACAAAATTGTATTTTATGTGTTTAGGGAGAAACTCATTCGCCTTCAGCATGAAAACAAGATGTTAAAGTTGAACCAAGAAGGTTCTGACAATGAAAAGATAGCCTTGTTGCAGAGCCTTCTTGACGATGCAAACTTGAGGAAGAATGAATTGGAGACAGAAAACAGGTAGGAAGTTTTGTCTTCTCCTTCTTGACTTTTCTAACAATTGACAGTTCTAACAACATACTTTTGATTGTACTGTGTCCAATACTGGCCTCCCCAGTACAAGAAAGACTTTCTGCAGACAGTCTAGTGAAGTACCACAAGGATGCAATTACAAGACTACAGCATCTTTCATATAAGGAGAGTCTGAGGGATAGAGACTATGTAGTCTGGAAGACAGAAGGCTCAGGGTGGACTTTATCAGTGTTTCTAAGTATCTGATGGGAGGGTCTAAAGGTGATTGAGCTAGACTCTACTCAGTGATGCCCAGTAACTAGACAAAAGGCAGTGGACAGAAATTAAGACATTCAGTTTCATCTAAAGGTAAGAACATTGTTACAGTAAGGGTTGCTGTACACTGGAATAGGTTACCCAGAGAGGTTGTCTTCATCTTTGGAGATATTTAAAACACAAAAGGACATATTCCTGCGCAGTCTGCTGTAGCTAACCTAGCTAGATTAAGCCAATAAGCATACAGACATCTATAGGATCAGGCATCCTGCATCTGAGCATGCAGAGTTGGCTGGCTGATACCGTTGTGAAGCTGCTGTCAATCTAAGCTTTGAATCTGCTTTTGTCTAATCTTCCCCTTTGACAGGGGAAGTTCCTGAAGCCTGGGACAGTAAATATTATACTTAGCTTCAGGAATAGCAAGAAAGAGAGTCCAGAGAGCTACAGAGACTTGTTAGCCACAGCCTGTTTTCTGGGAATTTCACAAAACTGGTCCATCTGGAATCTGTTTCCAGCCACATTAGAGACACGAAAGTAGTTGGGAAAGACAAACATGAATTTCTTTGTGGCAAATCATGCTTAACTAATCCAATTGTCTTGAGTGCACCCTCAGCAAGTTTGCTGATGACACCAAGCTGCGTGGTTCAGTTGATACGCTGGAGGGAAGGAATGCCATCCAGAGGGACCTTGACATGCGAGGTGGGCTGATGCCGACCTTATGAAGTTTAACCATGCCAAGTGCAAGGTCCTACACCTGCGTTGGAGCAATCCCAGGCACAGCTACAGGCTGGGCAGAGAAGAGATTCAGAGCAGCCCTGTGAGAAGGACTTGGGGGTGTTGGTAGAAGAGAAAATGAATATGAGCCAGCAGTGTGCGCTTGCAGCCCAGAAAGCCAACCGTATCCTGGGTTGCATCAAAAGGAGTGGGACCAGCAGGTCAAAGGAGGTGATCCTGCCCCTTTACTCAGCTCTTGTGGGACATCACCTGGAGTATTGTGTGCAGTTCTGGTGTCCTCAACATAAAAAGGACATGGAACTGTTGGAACAAGTCCAGAGGAGGGCCACGAGGACGATCAGGGGACTGGAGCACCTCCCTTATGAAGACAGGCTGAGAAAGTTGGGACTGTTCAGCCTGGAGAAGAGAAGGCTGCATGGAGACCTCATAGCAGCCTTCCAGTATCTGAAGGGGGCCTATAGGGATGCTGGGGAGGGACTCTTCATTAGGGACTGTAGTGATAGAACGAGGGGTAATGGGTTAAAACTTAAACAGGGGAAGTTTAGATTGGATATGAGGAGGAAATTCTTTACTGTGAGGGTGGTGAGGCACTGGAATGGGTTGCCCAGGGAAGTTGTGATTCTCCAGCCCTGGTGGTGTTCCAAGGCCAGGTTGGACAGAGCCGTGGGTGGCAAGGTTTAGTGTGAGGTGTCCCTGCCCATGGCAGGGGGCTGGAACTAGATGATCTTAAGGTCCTTTCCAACCCTAACTATCCTATGATTCTATGACAGTGAGATGACTGCATGTGTGAAGAATGGTAAACAGCAGACAGTAACTTAGTTTTAGCAAGGGACTTAGTCTCCCATAGTATCCTTATGTTCAGAAGGGTTAAATAGAGACTGAATAAATGGACAGTAAAGTGAGTAGAAAATCGGCTGGGTGGCTGGCCTTAAAACGTTATCATCAGTGATACAAAATCCAGCTGGCGACCAGTTCCTCAGGCTTGAATACTTGGACCAATGCTGTTCATAACCTTTATTAACAACTTGACTGATAGGAAGGACTGTACCCAGCAAGTTCGAGGATGGTACTGTGTTAGGAGGAGTGACAGATATGCTGAAACGGATAGCTCGGAGGAGCATAGCAGCCCAGAGGAATGAGCTATTTAGGAGCTCTGTCCCTGGCTGGGAATAGTAGGCTGGGGAGAAGCTCTACTGTAACATCCTGGTGTTCCAGTGGGCAGCAAAGGATTATGTTTTGGCTGAGGAACTTGCAGCTGACTGACCTGGGCTGTCCTCACCAGTGTTCAGACAGTCAGTCTGGGAAAACAGTCTTTTACCTCTTTGCAGTACTTACGAAATCACATCTAACATAGCATATAATTTTAGATTCTGCAGTACAAGAAATGTGCCAGAGTGCAGTGGAGTGATTCCAAAGTGGGGAGCACTGGAGTATGGGGTATGTGGTATAAAATGGAGAGCTGGGTTTGTTCAGTCCAAAGAAAAGGTGGCATGGAGGAGATAATACTGTGATCTGCATCTGTCTGATGGAAAGGTGTCAAGAAGACAGAGACGGGCTCTTGTCAGAGTTTGACAGTGCAAGGACAAGAGGCAGCAAACAAATACGAATTATGTGCTTGAGCTCTAAAATAGAGGCCCAAAAAGACTGTCAGATCTTCATCCTTAATGGTGTCCAAATGTGGGCTGGATGTGGTTCCCAGCAATCTGCTGTAAGTGCACCTGCTTTAAGGAGGACGTCGGATTTAGACAATCTGGAGATCACATCTAACAAGGTTTATAGGATTCTCTGTGTAAAAGCAGTAAACTAGTAGCTCTCACAGTAAAACCGGTTGTTAGCAATTCTTGTTTCATGTAACCAGAGATGATTTCTTAATATGTGCATTTATGTTGTCTTGGAAAAATATCAGGTTGTTCTGGATGACTACAGACTGTAATCTCTGGAAATGCTGTATGCGCTAACTACTGTTGTGAATTTTCTGAGTCTCCTGTAAAAATGACCTTAAAACACTGGGCACTAAAAATTTCAGGCTTTCTCTTGCAGTTGTTTGGGGCTTTTTTTCTGAAAATCAAAACACTATCTCTTTCCTAGGTTGGTAAATCAGAGACTTATAGAAGTGCAGTCCCAGGTAGAAGAATTACAAAAGTCCTTGCAGGATCAAGGTTCGAAAGCTGAAGATGTAAGTAGAAATGTACAGCAGATGTACCTGCAACTAGTTACAGAAACTTTTTTTGAGACTTTCACCTTTTTGTAAAAAATTATGTAAAAGAATTATGCAGATGGAGACTTGTGATAGTTTTCCATTTTTATTCATATGGTCTTATTATGAAATTATGCTTCTCTAAATAAGATTTGAGACATAGTAAGACATTTGTCTAGAAAAGAAAGCTGTCCTTTGTAGGTGTCAAATATATTTTATTAGTGTCTGTTCTGATAGTAAACTTGGCATTGAAATTATTTAGAGAGTTAATAGAGAGATTTTTATTAATACAGAGTTTTGCAGGAAGTTAAGGAAATGTTAATTCTCCATGTCTTAATAAAGTATCTGAAGTTATTTTGGGGTTAGTTTTCTTTAAAGTTAAGACCTTTCCTGCCAGTGGAAGCTCTGTAATAGTGGATGTAAATGTTTTTTGTAATGCAGGAAGCTAGACAGGCCAAAACTAAAATAAAAAGTCAAAGAATTAGGCCCTCAACGTAAAGCAGCATTTTCTGTTTCTGTGTATGGAATTAACATTGTTTTTAATCTAAGAATACACATCGTGGTAGTTGGTGTGGAAAACAACTTTCAGTCTTCCACTCAAAAGTTGTGTTTGCCATCTCCTCTATTTGAGAGAAGAAGCTCTAGAACTTTCTTGAAAGCAGTGATTTGCTGAACTGTACATGCACAGTATATGCTTACAATTTCAGTGTATTGTGTAGCTAATTAGCAGCAAGTTGTAATGTGTTGCTTCCTATTTTTGTGGGTTTGTTTTTTAACTAATTTATATAGACAAGTGGAAGTTTTTACTAGTTGCTAATTTTCATTTGAGTGTGTTTAATTTAGCTTATCCTTTAAATTTTTTGAATAAACTGTATAAAAATAATACATCTAGTCGAGTTCAAGTAAGATTATTTGTTCTTAAAATAAATTTTAGAATGCATTTTAAAATAGGTCCATCCTGTTGTGTGATTGAGATATTCTTTGTTGTCTTAGTTATTGGCCAAAACTGAATTTTTCAGGGTGAACAAGAATATGAAAAAAATACTGTCAGATACTGAAAGTTGTAAAGTATCCCAGTCTAGTTGAATTCAGCTTTATTTACTGCAATTTTAATTGTGTCCCTTTTTGAAGCTCTGGTTTGGACAGTAATTTAGGGCATATCTGCAGAACACTTACAGGACTGGTTGCAGCCTGTGTAGGCATCATCTGAGATGATTCTGTTAACCTCACAACACTACAGTACAACCTTTCGTCTTTTCCAGGCAACCTGTGTCAATTCAGAGCTGGCAAGTTCACACTTCAGTTGTTGCATTCCTGGCTTATCTGTAGGTCAGACAGTGTCAGTGGTGATTTATAGGCATGATCCCATGGCCTCTTTTGATGAGTTCAGTGTGTAGGATTTCCTTTCCTTTGCTGGTAAAGAAATGAGAGTGTAGACTCAGTGAAGTATTGAGGCTGCAAGAACCTGTGAAGGTATTGACACCTCATCCAGTCTCCTACACAAAGTAGAGGAAATTTCAACGTTAAACCCAGCTGTTCAAGCAGATGGGATTTGTGGTAGGACCACCTGAGTTATTTTTGAGATACCCTTACAGAAAGAGTAATTCTTCATTGAGAAATGAAGAAATGAAAATTCTTCATGAGAAAAAGGATAGAGAGACATGAATACAGTGGATGGATCTTTTTCAGCATGTTTCCTCTGTTCTTCACTGCTTTTCTGTAATTATGCACCGAAATCTGCATTTTTGTATACTTACACTGTAAATAGGCTCAACCCAGAAAACCTGGTTGTATTCGGTCCAGAAATGCATGATGAAGGCTTGGAGCTGGGGCTTGGGTTTTGGTTTGGTTTGTTTTTTTTGCTGGTTGTTTTTTTTGTTGTTGTGGTGGGTGGTGGTTGGTTGGTTTGGGTTTGGTTGTTTTGTTGGGTTTTTTTTAGTTTTGTTTATTTTTGAAGTAGCTTTTAGGCTTGACCAAAACGTAGTAAAAGCACTATAGTAACCCAGCAAAGTATCATTGCAGTAATACGTGCTGCTTGCTGAGGTTCACATGGGGAGCAAGTTTTGATTTTCGTATTGAAGTGCAGTGGAAAATTAATGTTAGAAATGTATTGGTGCCTAATATGTACATTAGACCTGTAATGGGTACTGATGCAGCCTGTTGGAATGCCCGATTAGTCCTTTCTGGTTGTTGCCTTGCTACCCAGAGACAGGCCTCCTTACCCCAGTCTTCCAAACTACAGAATCAACTCAGATGTGCCCAGCGTGGTCAGAATAGCTGGTTTGATTCATTGTCCTCCAAAATGCAGTGGTTATATGTATCCTCAACAGGTACCCAAGGACAGGTTCAACTACATCATTTGCATGCCTTATTATTGCTCTCTTATGTCATCCTTGTTCTCCCTTTCTCTGCCCTAATCCCTTCCTGTATAAGCAACCTTCCTGTAGTTACTTCTGCTGCACTGGACCTAGCCTTGCTAAATCCATAGTGCATCTGGTGTTTCTCATACTGTTACACATGCAATCTTAGCCTTACATGCTGCTACTGATCCAATTACCAAGTCTTCCTGACTTAGCACCTCCTTAAAAAGTCCCCAGAACTGTTACCTGGGAAGTTTAGCCACTTTGCTCATTTGGTGAAAGGAGCAGGTTGCCCAGAGAGGTGGTAGATCTCCCATCCCTTGAAACATTCAAGGTCAGACTGGACAGGGCTCTGAGCAACCTGATCTAGTTGAAGATGTCCCTGCTCATTGAAGGGGACTGGACTGTATGACCTTAAAGGGTCCCTTCCAACCCCAACTGTTCTGTGATTCTGTGATTACTTTTAGCATCTGTGAAATCTGACCATCCCTCAGTGCTGTTAATAACTTCTGTCATCTTCTCACAGTGTTACCAGTCTCATCAGGTGATTTTTCTCAAGTCATGTGCCAGTTTCTCTCACCCTGCTAAATTAGCTGAACCTCAAGCAAGAGCCATCTGCCTGTGACCTTAGCATGCAGAACAAACCCAAACTTGTTCCTCAGAAAAGGGACAGACCTGTTTCTTTGGCTTGTTTTAGCATAAGAGAAATTTCCAGCAAAAAGACATTTGTATAGGTTGGGGGTTTTTTTTATGTAAGAGAAAGATAACAGTTAATGCCAGAGAGGGTACCTGTTTTTTAAAACCACATCATAATAAGCATTTTCTGTGGTGTTTTGTAAGTAGAACTTATTAGCAGTGGGAGGAGAAAGTGAAACAGTGAGTGTACGTTTGCTGATTTTTACAATTTTGTTATAGAAATGTTCTTGTATTATGAACAGATAAAATTTGAATGAAGTTAAATGTAAACTCGGCTCAAAATTGGATAAAGCTTTTTTAATTGGGTGGGGTTTTTTTAGAGACTGGTCTTCCTATCAGAGAACATGAGAACAATTTTAGTAATTATTTGTTAGGTGCAAAGAATTTGGATATATGACATTGAAGCTGGCAAATACTTTAAAAAAAAGTAATGTTTGCCCATTTTTGGAGTAATTTATTTGAATTTATCTACCTTGTTACAAGTATATATGGGATCTTTGTGTGGCTAAAATCACACATTTTACCTTTTATTCTTTTTCTTAATCTTGTGTCTTGAGTAAATAACTCTGGGTAAGCTCAGTCCTGCTTCTTTTAACTCTGTGTTCTGTTTATTGTTGTTAGTTTCTTGCTTGTGAGAACATATGATCTGTCTAGATGGGAGAGCGTTTACTCCCACAGCAATGCTAGTACTATGCAAATAATATATATAAAAATACACCAGAATGGAATCAATGTTGACAAGTAGTTGAGTCTCTTCCAAACCTAAATGCAGTAGCAGGATCTCAAAAGAAAAGCTAAGTTCAGTTTTTACTTTCTTACCTTGGGAAAATGGGCACTGCTGCCAACTTTCCCCTTTCTTGTCCAAACCAACTGATAGTCCCCTAAATGATCAGACATAAGGGATGGTACCAGTTTAAACGCATTGTGACCAAGAAAGATGCATACAAGCATTTATTATTACAGAAAATGCGGTGTTTCTGCAGCTGTTTAGAGAACTGGAAAAGAAAAAAAAAACAACAAAGGGTCAAACCCTGCAGATCCGTACCTGCTTCAAATTTCTGACTTTGGCATTAGTAGTGTCATGATGGCTGGTTTGTTTTCTTTGGGGCTCTCCCCCTTTGTTAGAGAGCAATAAGGAAATCCAGCTTTGAAATGGTGAAAAAGCATGACCCAAGAATGTGATTGAAGATGACATTTTGAAGTATTTACACTACAACAAAGCTAAAAGCTCTCTTTCAGTACACATGGTAGTTGTCTCTGTTGGCCAGGTGTCTAAACCGAATTGAAAGAACACTGAACTAAAACCAGTGAAATAATTTTGTTGATGTTTTTATCTTACATTCTGATGGCATTCTGGACCATCTCTCACGTGCTAGACCTCCAGTGTGATTGGTACTGGATAAACACAAACCAAAAAGGCAGTTTCTGATTTAAGTATTTTACATTTGTCTTGCATTCAATCAGTGTGGCAATAACACAGTTCAGAATCACTCCATAAAACATACGCATTTCTTAATTTTCTTTGTAGCCCAATAGAATGCATATTTTTCTCCTGTTTTGTTACTTGTTTGATTTTTGTTTTAAAATTACTTTCCAAAATAGCAGTTGCTCTCCTTTGAAATTCTGGTTTAAACACAATGATTTACAAATGTGCTTCTTTACTATTTTTGTATTTTGTTTTTAGTGGTATGTTTTAGAAAATGTTACAGGATGAAACTGCTGATGAGAACAGAGGAGAAAAATCAGCATGTGTGAAAAAATGCATAGCTATAACTTTCTGTTCATGACTTTCTAAATAGTTTCTTCTGTTTGCTGCTGTTTTGCTTTATACTAATGTCATCTCTGTTTCTTGGCATGGGCTTCTGCTCAAGGCTATTGTGAGTATGGCTTTCTATTTACTTAACACTACTTTCAGTTTATAGACTTTTACTGGGTTCATTTTTCTGAAAGATGCTCACTGTCTGTGAAGTGAGTTTAAAATTTAAATAAAACTTACTTTGAGGGTTTTATTCAAAGAGCTTATCTAAATGTGATTTAACCAGAAAGTGGAACACTGTGAGTTGCATAATAATGTTTACATGTCTGTAATCAATAATGATAAGAAACAGAAAAAGGGCAAAATGTCCACTATACTCCAGTCAGAAACATTCTACTCCCTCTAGTTTCTATGGGGATGGGAATTTACTTCAACCAGTTTGGTACATGTCTTCATATGAATTGCATTGCAACATCGGTAGGATGACTATTGCAAATATTGCTGCACTTCCCAATTTCAGGTTAATTTATCAAGTCCAATCACAAAAGTACAGAATAAATTAAAACAACTGCCATAGAGTTTTGTCATTTATGTATCTTGCTTGTATCAATCTAGTTCCTTGTGAACACTTCCTGGGAAAATATTTGCGAAGTCGTAAGGCTCTCTAATTTTAGGGAAGTCACACAGCTGTGGGAAGAGGGATTGCTACCACAGAGGATGGCTTTACACAGTTACAATGTAAACCTAAGTCAAGTAAACAGTTATATTTTGGTTTGAGTGTCAAAGCCATGTGTTTTAGAATAATTTTGGAATTGTGTAAAAGCTCTACAAAATATTAAAACATCTATTTTTCTGTTCTAGTCAATTCTTCTGAAGAAGAAACTTGAAGAACATCTGTAAGTATTTTGTTGGCCTGTTTTGTTTGCCATTTGAAATCATGTGTTTTCTATATGGCAAGGAAGGCAGACAGTCATTAATCAGGCATCTGGAAAATGTACAAGTAAGAGAAGATAGATAATACAGGAATGTTTGGGAATCTGTTGTTCAGATACTCTTTTCATCTCCTAGAAATCCTTTGCAAAAGCAGTAAGAGCAATGAAATAAACATAATTTTATGGTGGTTAGAAAACTAATTTTGCTTAAGGGCTGTAAATCTTTACTGAAGGGGGTGAGTAATTTTGTTCTGAAGAAAGCATGTTAATGTAAAATAAATTATTTTGTGTACTTTATGGTATACATTATGGCATAAAATGTAACATTACAGGAAGTTTTATTATTTTGTTCTGCTATTTCCACATCTCTTTTACTTCCCTAAAATGCAGAAAGATGTTTGCTTTAAAAAAAAAAAAAAGTAGTTTCTGTTGCCTTTGGGTTTACTATTCTTTCTCAATGTAATCTCAATTACGAGTATTCATTCTAGGCAAGCATTGTGCAATTAACTGTAAATGTTAATTGTACAATGTAAATTCTAAAATTAAGTTTATAGTTACTGGGAATTAAGATGTTTGTTGTTACAGTTCTTTGTACAATGATATGTTTTTCAGCTTATTTATCAAATATTTCCACAGTGATGTTGTCATTTGTCCTTATGCCCCAGAGCAAAAACTCAGTTGTGCCCTCAGAAATATATTACTATCTGAGGATTTTTTTGTACAGATTATCATTCATTCAAGCACAGTACTAATATTGGGAAAACAATGTGCTTTTATGTTTTGTTATAGGGAGAAGCTCCATGAAGCTAACAATGAGCTACAGAAGAAACGAGCTATTATTGAAGACTTAGAACCAAGATGCAATAATAGTTGTGAGTTACCTGTGCAATCCATTTCTTTTCTTTAAAAAATGTTTCATATATAAGGTCTTTAATTAACATATCGAAAGGAGGTGCAGATAACCAAAAAGAACATTTTAAGTGCCAGTGATATGTATGTTGTTCATATCTCTGGAAGCCAGGGTGACCAAAAAGATGCTTCTGACACTTGAAATGCAGGGAATAACATTTTAGAGACCACTGTAGTAAGAAATTACAGTGGCTATAGAAATACGGAGTAAGTGTCATACCTGTCATTGAACATCAGCTGTTCACAACTGCCGTGTCTCCTAAGACCCTAACTTAGTAGTGGATCCTTGCTGCCATCACCAGATTATTCTTACTCCCAAAATACTCAGTATTTTTTCAGAATTGCGTTGTAATTTGAGAAAATTTTCAGGTATTTGTCAAGTGTAGGATATGTTATATTTCTCAGATGATATCATGAACCCGGCATCCAGTTGGTTTTTAGCGTAGTAATGCTACATTTTTCCTAAGACATGTTGAAAAAGGTAGAATTCTTTTTTTTCCTAAGCCTACTTGTTATAGAACAAAGCCTTAAAAGACTGCAAACAGTGTCAGCATTTCTGGTTTGTATCCAAATTATTTTATTTACAAAGAGATTGAAGAAGATAGAAATATCCGTTCACTGTACAGTACATACATTCTGTGTCCAAAAAGAATTTTCAATTGTGTTGAGCTAAAACTGCAGAATATATTACAAAGTCCACATTTTAGGAAGTGTTAGAACACTTGGAAGTGAGGTCCAGAGACTTCGTGAGTACCTAATAAACACATAATCCTGTCATATGCGGTAAGCTTTACTGTGAGCATAATAGCAGTCCTGTGACTTGCTAGCTACTGAACACTACAGCACATTGAGGCTTCTGTACTTAGTTTACTGAAATTACAAGTTGCTTTTTGAAAATCTATGTCTGAACTTTGTCCTGGTAAAATTAAAATAGTTGTACCTTCTTCCATTCTTTCCCTGCTCAGGAAACGTATTTGAATTATTCTTTCAGGTTCTTTTAATTATTCTGGATATAGCATTGTACAAGAATGATGGCATATTTTGAAAAAATGGACTCTTGCAAGTCTGGGAGACCTTCTGCTATTGGTCTTCTTACCGATCAGTGAAAATCTTACTTGGTCCTGTTGCCATCTTAGTGTTTTCCGAGTGCTTAGAAAGAAAACTGCAGGAAAACCATGAAAGAACATTTCAAAATGAGGTTGCAAAGCAGATGGGCTGAAGGTTACCAATTACTCAGCATTGTTTGAGAACCAGACATCAATGTCACATGAAATTTGATCCAGGATGATGCAACTTATTATTTTTACTCTTTTCTGAGATCTGAGTAGATGTATAGAAGATGTATAAGCAATAGTGGTTTGACATATTCTTGTATCAACACAGGAAAAAGCTGTGCAATGAAATTGTCCTGCTGGTCTGCACTGCTGCTTATAAAAATGTGGGGAGGGGAAAGTAAATTGAGTATACTTACATCACAATTCTGATAAATTATGTCCAGTGTTACAGTTTACCAGATTTAAGCAAGAGTTGTATGGAATGATTCCTTTTACATAAAAAGCTTGTATTCATCTGAGTTACAATATCAAGATCTTATTGAGTCATTGGTGAACTCATAAGTGCATTCAGTAATGGGATTGATTTATGATTCAGTTTCTCTTTTTTTTTAAATATATATATATATACGTATCTTTTAGAAAGGGCAAAATTTGTATACAATATACAGCCATCTCATGAGATTATGTAGAATACACATTTTGAATGTGATTCTAAGCTATTTAGTAACTAAAACTATGGCTTCTTATGTAGGCTTTTCTTAACTGAAAGAAATTTTAGCTGTGCCTTCAATGTGTGTTGAGAAACATGAAAATAATATAATTGTGTTATTTTCCAATATGTGCATCTCTTGGCATTAAGCTCTCAAAATTGAAGAATTACAAGAAGCTTTACGGAAAAAAGATGAAGAAATGAAGCAAATGGAAGAGCGATACAAAAAGTATTTGGAAAAAGCCAAAAGTGTAAGTACAAATATTCCATGTTAATGATCCCTCTCTGACAGTCTTCAGCATATGTCCACTCTGACGCAGTAAATATAAAGGAGGTATCTATATGCGCATTAGCAAGTAAAAGAGAAGGAAGGACCTGTGAGTATCTTCTATTTGTATCTTATTACCATTACAGTACCTAATACTGGTTAATTCTGCAGATCTTATCCTTGTTTGTGTTCATGACTGTCCCCTCTTACTACCTATCTGTAAGCCCTTCTGATGCCTCTGTACAAATGTCTACTCACTACTACAGATTTTTGAGAGTCACCCTTGTTAAGCAAACTTTCTTACTGGCTAGTGACAAGGAGAGGGTGTTAAACCCTTTCTAATGCTGTGATAACCTATTTCTCTGCATAAATTCTTCCAGACTTCTGATACTGAGTAACAAGTGTATAGATCAGCTAAAGCAGTGTCCATACTAGGACTGGTGGTGCAGAAATAAATAGCTGTGCTGTATTTTAGAGCTGGAGAACCACCCCTAAAACAACCCAAGGGGAGGAAGCTCTGTGAGCAAGAGTACTGTTTAATTGGCATTTGTGCTGGGAGTTTGGGGACTTCTGACACAGTTATTATGAAGAAATTTACCTCTTTCTACACAAATATAGCTTGGTAATAGCAAGTACAGTCATAGCTGGACCAGCAGACTCTGGTTTTATCAGTCTGGGCGAAGAGGAAAAAGGAAGTCTGAGGTAATTTCCTTCACAGGTGGATGGATCTGTTATGTGTGTTTCTGGATGGTATAGGCTTCTTGTGGTGCTCAACCAGGAATGTCTCTCTTACCTGAGGCAGATAGATGGAAACACTTTTTTTCATTAATAGAGCTTTTAGGTACCTAAGATTTCATCAGGTCCTAATTGCTCACATAAACAGCTTACTCCTTTTGAGGGGCTCAAAATTTACAGGCAGAGGTCATTACACATGTGCCAAAGCCTTTTTTACCAATTTACATTTGATATTGCTTTCTTAGTTAATCTTTCTACCCTGATTTCTGTTCATGTTCTGGTTTAGCCAGCTGGTTTAGGAAATGTTTTAATAAGGCCTCTTTTATTGATAGTTTTCCAAGTAAAGTGATCCTTTTAATTGAACCACCTGTAAGAGCTGTTCCATTTCTGTGATGGCGTTCAGCATTCTCTTTGCATTTACTGATTAATATATGCTTCTGTGAGAAGGATGCTAATAATTCAGTGTGATACCAAGGATGTGGTTATACTACCAGCTTTGAAACAGCAGTATTGTGGTCTCAATCATAGTCCCATTTCTTCTTTTACTATACATTGATGTTTTATTTGAGTTTCTAAGCTGTTTTCTACTAAAGGCTTAGGAATCTAGGCATTTTGCTGAATTTATTGCTGGTTTAACCCTGTGTTTGCTAGCACTCATGCTGCCTTTGATGGATGCCTCATATAAACATAATCAGGTGTCCTTGCATCATATTAGTAACATAATGATCACACATGTGCCATTTCTAGAATGTTATCTAGAAATGACAGCACCTGGTACTCCAGGTGGGAGATTGTGGCATCTTTCTGTAAGGACTGAAGTGTACCTTCCTCAAGTGGAAGGAATTCACAGGTAGGTAAACCGTAGTTATAAAGAGATAAACCTTTGAGAACTTGTTTCTACCACCGTGGCACCAGGGTAGTGCAGGTAGGGATGCTGGGATGCTGAACCTCTTAGGAGTCGCTTTTGCCTATCGGTAGTTTTGTTTCACAGTCCTGTAAAAGAGAGCCCAGTTCAGATTATCTTAATGTATCTTGGCTGATGTTCAGAGGCCAAGCCTGTCGTGCTGGCTGTCAAGATTATTTTTCAGGAGTCAGCCCCTACAAAACTACACATCCCTCTGTTTAACATTTTGGAGTGTCATTTCTTGAAACACGTGTTTTAAGTCACTTTTCTTAACATGACTTAAAAGGTTGTAATTCCTTGATGTCTTTCCTTTCAACTAGGTTACTTTTGCATCGTAAATCCAAACTGGTTTTCTTTTACAGGTCATCCGTACCTTAGATCCTAAGCAGAACCAGGGTGCAGCTCCTGAAATTCAGGCTCTGAAAAATCAATTGCAGGAGCGGGACAGAATGTTTCATTCACTGGAGGTAGTAATCCTCATGTTTCCTGTTAGTTCCTTACTTCCTCATTGCTTTTACATATAGACTAATACTTTTATTATACTTTGGTTTTAAATGTATCCTTTTCTAATGTTTGTTTTACAGAAAGAATATGAAAAGACAAAAAGTCAAAGAGAAATGGAGGAGAAATTTCTTGTTAGTGCCTGGTACAATATGGTAAGAATTTTATCTTTCTTTTTTTTAAGGGAGCGAGGGTCACCAATTATTAATATTAGTTGTTTCTGTGTTGTTTACAACAACATTCATTTATAGGTTCTTTTGTTTGAAAAGTATTTTCCAACACAGAGGCACAGAAACAAATGCTTTTTAATAATTATATGCTGTCACTATATAGAAGTATGTTGCTCTGATAACCTTGGGATGAATGAAAGAGAACGTGGTTGTTATTTTCAAATTTTAAAACCAGAAGTGGCACTTCCTACAGGGAAGGATACCTCAGATGGCTATTTTGTAATTCCAGCCGTTCACCTGTACTGACTTTAACAGTGCTCAAGTTCACTTTCTTCTTTGATTCTCCACTCTTCAGTCTTCCAGTTCTTTCTAATGAAGAGGCACTGCAGTAAGCGCTCTGAGAAACACCCTCTAACTTGGCTGCAAGTTTAGAACCATGCAAAGGAAGAGCACAGGGCAAGACCCTAACTTAAATTATTCGGATAGTAAGGAAGCGATCTGTGCAGACATACAGCTTTTGCTGGGCCTGTATGCTGGCAGATTTTTCACGTTCATCCAGTGTGATCAAGACTTCTCTTTGGCAGAGTGTGTCTGCATTGAAACTGCTCTTCAGATAATAGGAATCTTGTGTAATGTTGATGTTTCATTCTGCTTGAACGTTCCTCCTCTGTCTTCCATTGGAAGAGTTTCCTTCTTGCTATTCTATGTTCTATGGCCGTGAACAGTAAGCCAAAAATGGTACTTGAGCAGATTGTTTGAATCCTTTAAATGTTGAAGGCGTTTTCAAGTGAATCATGTCCTTGACCAATTTCATAACATTAGTCCCACTGGCAAGCAGAAGACAAGGATAAGCTAAGAGCTGTAGTTCAATAGCCTGTTATGAACTCTCAAGGTATGACAAGCACTGGTAATTTTGGCTATGTCTTTCTCTAATTGGCCTCTGCTTTTATACATACCTGCACAGCCTGTCACAGCTTCCCTAAATTTATTCTTGCATTTACTCCTTCTGAAAACATACTTTCTCTGAAGATACGCTCCTGCCATATGAACTGGTATTTTCACACAGGATGACAATACTTCAAGTATTTTCAGAAGAAAAGTACTCTTCTTTATTGAAGATGAGCAGGGTAGGGAAGGGAAGTACTTGAGAAAAGACTCATCTATTTACTGTGTATTTATGTGGAGATGTGTGTGTTCAGAGCTGGGGCAGAGGGGGACCTGCTTCTCAACATTTACTCCAAACTGCAATGGATGAGAGAAGAAAAAGGCACATAGAGAATTAGGAAGAATATCTTAGTTTGATCCTTGAATGCTTTGTGTTTGGAATACAACACAGCTTTAGTCACTGTTGGTGAACAAGGACATAATAAAATGTAAATGAGTAAAGTTGCTTAGTGTTATGTGTCGGTGTTTACTGAGAAGTTTCTTTTTGTCCATAGGGGATGACGCTGCATAAAAAAGCAGCAGAAGACAGACTGGCTAGCACAGGCTCAGGACAGTCCTTCCTGGCTAGACAAAGGCAAGCCACGAGCACAAGGAGATCTTACCCTGGTCATGTCCAGCCAGCAACAGCAAGGTAGAGATGCCTTGCCCTTAGAAAGAAAACTGCCTTGTGATCCAGGCCACTTCTGTTGCAAGTGACAACATTGAAGAAAAATCAACCAGCATCCTTTCTCCCTTGTTACTGCTATTATTTTACACTTCAGGAAAGGGTTTTATTAGGGTTTCTCATTGTTCTGTAATGCCCTTTGCTTATGTATTTTGGAGTCCACTTCTCTCTTTCTCTCTGAATTTTTTTGAATGTGCCAAAGTTTAGAAAACATCTAGAGGAGTGCTGTGTAATAACAGAGTCTTACTGGTATGAAGCCTAGTCTCTTATGAAAAGCCTCATACTGGCTGTGTAACAATATAAACTCCTGTTACAGTTGATATATTTATGCCTATAAGGGTTGTTAGGCTTTATAAGACTGTCTTCGTTCAAAGGGAATTAGGCTTTTTGTTTCATGTGCTAAACTGTTGCTTCAGAAAAAGTGCTGAAAACTCATTACAGAAATGCAAAATTAGTATATAATATTATTGTGAACTATGTTTGCTACTAAAAAACTTACCAATGGCAAAAAGAATGTTAGGGGAACGGGAGGGTGTATGTGTGGTTTTTAGTTTTGTTTATTTGTCATGTTTGGGAGGATTTTGTTGTGTTTGGTTTTTTGTTTTGGGAATTTGGGGGATGCTTTTTCAGTTGTTTGTTTGGTTTTTTTTTTTAATCTCTTACATACAAAATTTGCTCTTGGCATTTAATAGGAAAGCAGGATGATTATTTTTTTTCAGGTTATTATCTAGTGGTGTTACCTCTTTTGATGACAGAGCTGAATATTTTCAAATGGTTTGTTCCCTCTTGTTGGTCAAGTGTATGCTTAAATGCATACTAGAAAAAGATTGAGAAATGTTTAGAATGCTGTGATATGCTACTCTATCATCCATTAAAAAGGCCATTTGTTTCAAAATTTTATAATTATGGGTGAACAGTACATAACAGAGCGAGGCCCTGATTACTATTGTTGATATTAATGTATTCCCGTTGTCATCCTCTGCTAAAAGACTTGCTTTTAATATACTGATTCAGGGTATAATTGTATCAGTTGCCTTACTAATGGTACCAGTGCCTTCAGGTGAGTTTGTTGCTGACTTTGTTGGAAACTGGCTGTTGTGTTGTACTGCCTTCTTAGGGTGTAGCTGATTAATTGTATGTCATTTGTTGTAGCACTTCCATGTTGATCAGTGGGGTGGATGGTGAACCATACTATTAATTTAGGTTCTGTTCCTATGAAGTTGTACTTTTTCCCTGACTAATTCTATGCTTTCCCTGTCATTTTTATCAAATAATTGACACAGAGGACCTGAGTATTGGTGGAAAGTTACATATACATACATCTTGTGGTGATTCAGTTTTAAACATTTTTCATTTAGAGACTGTTTGGAGACCCTAATGTACATGCAGTCTGAGATTCTTTTACTTTATTTTAATGCTCTCCCAGGTAAAAACATCTTTCATAAACCCCTTTAGAGAAAATGCATGCTTGAATTTACTAATCATCTGAAGGTCTATGTCTGGGCTATGGTTGCCATATTAGATAAAACAGTCAAAGTATCTTCTGTGCAGAAAGGTAACACTGTAAAGTCTAGGACCGTTGTCTAGGACAATTTCTGTACTCAGTGAAGTAATAATCGTTGTGCTGCCTTTTACTGAGATACAGAGTGCTGAAGGGACAAGAATTCAGGTGTGTTGTCTAACAAAACAACCACGATTTGTGGGATGTTTTTTACTGATCTTATTGTGCAATACATTCTAGTCATTTGAAGAACCCTTTTTACTACATGCCATGTGTGAACAGGAGCAAACAAAATCACTTCTCTGAGGACATTTGACATTACCGCATTTTATGTCACCCAGAGAAAGAACTTGAGCATACCTAAAGCTCGATTTTTATATTAATCTGGCTGACTGTTACCAAACTGCCAAAGCTTATTTGTGAAAGCAAAGTATACTAGGACCTTAGGGGGAAGTTTTCTGTCTTAATTTTGCCTAGTAATTGTGCAGGTCTGAAATATCTTAAACACAATCTGCACACTGGAATAAAAGTACTTGCTTTTATTATTTCAAACTTTGTTTTGTCGTTTTCCCCCAGAGTTTTGATGACGGGCAGATACCAGTGATAGTTTGGAGATGAACAAATGCTGATTAGAAGTCTCTATTTTATCTTTTACTTTCCTATCTCTCAAGGCTTCTTCACTGCTTGGCAGTTGTTGGATTTTATATTCTGCTTTGTGGTTCTGGTTGGTTTTTCCTTGTCCCTTAAGATAAGACATTGAAGTGTTCTCTGTAGTTCCCTTCAAGAATGTATAGTATCATTTTATTGCATCAAAGAGCAAAACAAGACTGAGTCTGTACTTTACTGTTGCTCGTAGTAATTGTTAGACAAGATTGAGCAAGCATTTTGTCTTTTGAGAATTCTAAACCTTGTGTATTTCCCAGAATGTGTGCTGAATATGAAAATCTAAAAACATACTGCAGTCTTCCAGAAATATCCACTGTATCTATCCAGTTCCCAGTAAGTCATTAATTCTGTCTTCTGATGGTAGACATCAGGAACTTCATTCCTTGTTCTAGAGCATTTAACTTCTTTTATTTACTGGATACATAATTTCTTAATCTTTGGGCGTGGATGAATGGAGTTGGTGAATTCATTAAGCCTTCTCTTCTACAAGAACAGTTTCTTTATAGGAAGCGTTAAGCTTTATTATTTTCCTTGGTTGTTATAGCTTTGGAAGTAGCGTGGTAGTAAGAAAAAGAAGGAGCTCAGAGTGCGACTTCAGGAAATAAGCACATGTACAGATGAGCTACCAATGAATGCTATTTGTCTTCAGTAATAAAAGAGTGCAAGCAAAAAAACCCCCAACCCTGTAAGACAGAATTCCCTCAGTACATTACATACTTCTAAGAAACTTTTAGGGACACTTTCAGGAGCAGACTACATCAAAATTGTAGTGGTAATTATTGAACCAATGCTATAGCCTGTCCGGATACACTACGAAAAAACCCAAACCCTAGAACCTTCAAGCTGAGGTTAAAGAGAAAAGGTTCTCCAGGACAGTGATGAAACAGCTGAAGAGTTCATGAGAGTACATTCCTGAGCGCTGTGCCAGGGATCTGCCAAGAAAAGTATTTCTGACCAATTTGAATTAGTGCCAATAAAAGGTAACAGTTATGGGGGACAAATATTTTCATTGTTCAGAGCAGAAGCTTAGCTTTGGGTCTTAAATGATATGTGTGTGGCCCAGTTGTATACTTCTGTGGAGAGTTGATTGGTTAGCATATCTGATCAGACATTACAGAAAAGCATAATCAAGTTTCCCATTTTCTTGATAGGTAGCACTAAGCACTTGGATTGTAGCATGTATTTCCCGAGTGCTGTTTAAAGGTTGTGTGTTCTACCCAGTGAAAAGGAAAATAAACAGCTAGAGCACACAGCTTTATATATTATAGAATTAAATAAGTACTTAATGGCTACAAGATGCTTTTCATTATCTCTCTGGAAACAAGCAGACAGCAATCTTAACCTGTTCTGATATCATTTGAGATAGCAGTAATGATTCAGGAAGTTTTCTTGGCTTTCTGTTCGTGGTAAGGTGCATCAGCAGTTTTATATTCATTGTGTATGAAAAAATTAACAGTGAATATTCCTATTACTGCTTTATGTTGATCTTCAATAGTAAGTGATAAGAAAGCTGTCAAGAAGATATAGGAGGATTTGGCAGTTTTAAGTTCCTCAGTATTTTGATATGTGCAGGTAGCTTTTGCTCCTCCTTGGTTACCTGGTATGTGAAACTATCCACTTAATAGCTTCACAGATCATTTTTTAGTGAGTTCAATTGTCTGCAGTTTTCTGTAGGTTTGGTATTTGGAAAATAGTTTAATTTTACCACTGGATTTTCTTTTAGTGATTTGGAGGAAGACTGTCCTGAATATGGCCTTTTTTTCTTTTTCTTATGAATCAAAATTGTACCTGAATTTTATTAATTTTATAGGGATTTTTATTCTTGCCCAACATTTTGACTTTTTGCAAGGATTGATGAGGGAGGTATTTTTTGCACTCAAAGTCAGCTATGCAATACTGACTTCTTGTGGGTTTTTGCACATGCGTTTTAGGTAGAATGTGGACTGTGTATTTTGCAGTAATATTATATTGATAAACTTCAGTATCTCCAAATGAAGTTTAGCAAATTTTGCAGGCATTTTCCTCACCAGGATTGTGCAAATAAATAGCTAAAAGGGGTTACTCTGTCAAGACATACTTTCAAGTGGTATTTTTTCCTGTAAGCCAAGTAGTCATACTTCAGGGCTGTCACCTACAGAGTAGTTTGATAGCTGGATTATGACTGAAACGTCATCTCAGGAAGTCGAGCACTTATAAAGAAAACTTTTCAGAAACCCTTTCTTAAAGCAGCTGTTATTCAGCTGGTGCTTCAAGCATGATGTATTTAGCATTCTATTAAAATGAAGAGGTGAATCAATAAAACAATGATATAGGTGTAAAGATAGGTAAGCAAGAAATTCTGTGAATGAGGCTTTTTAACTTTACAGACCGCACACGGCCTAGGCATGTGTCCCCTCCCAAATCTGACCAGTCCAGCTCCCTTCTGTATTGGCAAGGGCCCTGTGTTTCCACTTTGTGCCTTGCTTCGGGAGAAAGAAGTGAAATCTTGTGTTACCTCTTAGGTTGGTGTAAGGACTTGGGCTCAGATGTCCACAAGCCAAATCTTGTGGCCTGTGGCAGGGTGCCAGATTCTAGGTAGGATCCTAGCCATACCTCCAGTTTGTCGCTTTCAAGGAATCAAGAAAATGTCTTCAAATGACTGATTGCATTGCCTTGTTGCTGTGATCTTTCTTCCCTCAGGAAGTCCAGTGAAGCAGAAGCTTGTCAGTGACTCTGTAGGTTATAAGGGATGATTTCTTCAGTTTGAAAGTCGGAGGAGACAGATGCAAGTAACTATTTAAGTACAAAAATCGGAAGAGTATTAGGTCTTTCACCATTTTGCATTTTGGTGTTTATTTAAACGCAGTAAAACAGAACCTGAGCTTTTGGAGCTGTTTGGGTTTTTTGCTTTGTTAATGAATTTTGAATTGCAGTTGGTTAAGTATTAGAGGCTTTACCTGTGTGAATAAGGCAAAAGTTATCATTATCAGCCACAGCAACCTCAGACTTCCTACAACCCCAAACATCTTGGTTCTGCTGCCAGCTTCACTACAGTATTTGGAGGCATTGAGGACTTACCTAGTTTTGTCCTCTGTTTCTCCTTGACTTCACTTCTGGAGACTCATTGAAGCATTGGGACACAGCGTTCATTTTTTAAATGTATCAGTGCCCTGAATTAGGTAATGAGTGAATGTTGGTTGAGGAGCTCTAGAAAACGATTCAGAGTCCCATGAGGCATTGAAGCAGTGGTGGTATAGCCAAGGCAGCTTCCCAGACAAATTGTTCTGGTGTCAGATCAGTAGGAGCTCATGATAGCTGCTGTGTAATTGAAGTCCTAATCTGTTAGTTCCTGGGGGATGGTTTTGCTGTTAACTGTAGTAAGGCCTAGATTCTAACCTTCACTTTTAGGCCTTGCCAGAGTAATGCAGGACTGTCCTAAAGGAGATCTCTACCTTGTCTGTATTAGTTGGCTTTGGTGCGAATCAGGAATTTCCTGTGCTGCTGTTTGCTGCGTGTATAACATAATTTGGAGAAGTGCATATCCTTCAGTTTTCTTTGCACTGTGTCTCGGCTCCAGACTGAAAGCAAGGTTCCATTTGTCAGATAAAAGTTCCTTGCTGCTCTCTTGTTGCTTCGGATCTCAAAGGTTGATCTATACAGCATGAAAAAGACTGCTCGTAGAGGGAAATTCAGAGAGCTGGGAAGGCTTTTCTGTGTTGGGATGGTTTTATTTATTGCTCTGTGTTAGAGAGGTCCTGTACTATCAGATGAAGTTAGAGTGTCACATCTCAGAAAGGGGAACATGGTTATTTTAATGTTACAAAACTAGTCATTTGTCAGGACTTTGAAGAGCTGCTAACTACCGCAGCATTGCACAAATATGAAATACTGCAAAAGCAAGTATTTCCACAGGTATAGTTTATTCTGCAAATGAAACTTGAATCCCTGATGATTATCCCTAACTTTAAGAGAGGAGAAAATCAGCACTAAGGGCAGTTGGTAACATGCTAGGATGCTTTGTTGTGAGCATGATCATGGAAAGCAGAATTTTAAGAGGAAATACCAAATGGTGTAATATTTGTGGGCTTATAAAATAATTGTTGTTAGACCATCAGATTTTTTTATTTGGATTTGCATATCATATTCATAATGCATTTTTAAATTATAGATTCTGTATAGAGATTATAGTTCTCACAAAAGATTAGTAGGCAGGAGAGGAATTCTATTTCCTGGAGGTATCGGTGACTTCAAGAGAGATTTTAAAGCTTATATTTAGCAGTATCAGTGAAATCTTGGAATAATTATAAGCTTGATATTGTAAGGCCACAGTTCTTAGAATTTATACTCAACTTCTTATTCTGTAGCTGTAAGCGTTACAAACATGCAAAGTGGTGTTAATACAGCTTTGGAAGATGCTATCTTGAAAGGCTTCTGTAAAACATCTAAAGGAAACACCAGGAGGAAGACATAGAATAGATGCAGAAAGAAAAACTTCAGCAGTAGAAGCCAGTGAGTAATGAATTTAAGAAATATGCAGGAATAAAAATCTGGAGTCAGTTACTTCAAAGCAGAATCTTGGCAGAAATATTTAGTGTTCGTGTTAGACTTGAAAATGAGTACACTCTGGTAGCTTTGGTGATTGTGCTACAGAATCCTGCTTGCAGACAGCAGATTGTCGACTAGAGACAGCCTGGACCATTTTAGGGTCAAATGTAGTCTGAACAGGAAAAAAGTAGCTGCTCAGATAGGTCATGTGGCTGGGTTTGGCTTGGGGTTTTGCATCGTATCTGACTTGTCTGAGCAGTTGTGTTGGTTTTCAGAGCTGGCTTTCAACAAGTCAGTGAAAAAGGCCGACATCCTTTCTGAAGCTGTAATGTGTTGAAGTTGTCCCAATCACTTTTATGTGTTGAAAAACACAAAAGGACAGCAAGAAGTTAAGGAAGATCTTAAGGGATGTATAACCACTTGTTACTGGTTAGACATCTGCCTGTCACATCTGTCTACTTGTAACGAAGTAGAGCTAATTGGATGAGGCACTGAATATAGAGGGGAAACACTTCACCAGGAAATAATCCCCCGAGATAGCAACAGGCCTTCACTTAAGAGCTGGAATATTTTGGACTGGCAGGGGAAGGAAGTAAGAGAATATCGCTCCTTTATAGAGACATCATCTGCTGCATACACTGCCTCTTTTTGCAGATGCTGCAGGAGTAATGACAGGTTATGCTGAGTGAATTAATCCTCACATCTTGCATCTCTTTTGTCTTCTGAAGTGCTGCTGCCTCAACAGGTAGCTTCAAAATATATTGATTAATTTTGAGGAGTTGTCCAAGAGAAAAAAAACGACAGACAAGAGCAAGAAAGAGAAAGGGCATCCCTGAAAGAGAATATACCGTACTGAGTTTAGAAGAGCTCTCAAAAGTACTATGAATTCAAAGAGAAACCTACAATGTTGTTTCTGTTTTATGTGCATCAGGACACGTGCAGTGCTATTAAATAATAAGTCTGAACTCAGTAATAGGTGAGACTAAAGGAGTAGACTCTGTATTAGTTTATGAGCAGTAGATAGATACATGCTTATGTAGCTTTAACTTTTAATTTTTTATAGACTAACTACAGTAATCTTCGTATTATTAATCCTGAACTCTGTAACTTTATGCTCCCAAGCAGTGCCAAGCAAGCTTAACAAACAGTGATTACTCAGAATACACCTTTGCAGTTTGCTTTGAATGTGTTCATTTTTAATATTTTTGTTCCATTTGATTTATGTCTGTGTGTTTCTATGGGGTTCTCTACAGCTATGGTTAGTATTCTGGGCTGGTGAATGAGGAGAAAAAGAGGGATACGGGAGCTTCAGTACTTGTAGCAAAAAGATATTTTGTAATAAGTCCTTGAGTTTAGTTATAAATATTCTTCCGTGTCTACTTAACCTCGGTTTTGCTGTCACAGGACCTGTTCTTAGAATCATTTTTGACCAGTGCAATACTAGGGAGAAGTGGGGAGAGAAACAATTTACATGCTTTGAATTCAGTCTGGTGAAGCTATTTTGCTCTTTGTAATGTCACAGTGACTACAGTGTGAAAATGAGAATGAGCAGATTGTGCTGTGCCTTGCTGTCTAGGGCTATTGGTGTTACGTGGGGAAGCAGAAAGCACTGTAGCTGTGTTAGTAGAGCATTCCATTCCAGTTTCATTGGCCAAGAAAGAGGCTGTATCAAAAAGGATGGAGAAATATGCCAATTCTCTTCCAAACCTATATTCACTTCCACAGCATTGTGACCTGCTCTGTGAGCTGCTCAGTGGCTCCTACATAGCTTATTTTAACAAGAATATGTATCGTTATCCTGCAATTCAAACCTGTATTTGCATGCGTGAACAGAACTTGCCTGTGTATTGCAGCAGTGATGCTCTTGTAGTGTTCACACACAGGATAAGCTTTGATGAAATGCAAACACTTAAAATCTTCAGTGGTGCTCAAATGCTCAGGCAGAGTCATTACCGCCCTGATTGTCTTTTAGTATCTAACCATACGGAGTAGTGGGCAGGCACCTTTGACTTTATATTGCTTTGGGTTCTGACTGTTGTACTTGAAGACAAGCAGGAGTGCCTGAGACTTCTTCATCACTGTGTAAACCTAGTTTGCATAGCTGTGTTAGCTGAGAATGGTGTCCTGAAGGACTTTAATCAGAATGGTTTAAATTTGTCTGAATTGTGTCTGAATTTACCTGTTGTTCAAGGCTGTTTTGTTGTTCTTTCAAATCATTAGCAACCTGCTAATTTGAAGAGTTGCTCTGGCAGTGATGGTTTTCCCCATGAATTTGCCAACTATAAGTAGAGACAGCCTTACTGAACTGCTCTAAAAAACACTTGTTTTCTCTGTTTTTCTTTTTAACAGTAATACCTTATTTGCTTTTTAACTTTCTTCTTTATTCTTTTATTTGCAGTGATGTGGTTGCATGACCTGCAGCATTATTATAACAGGGACTGTTCAGTGCATGACTTGCTTTTCTGTCCAGACTGCATAACCAAAACTTAACCAGTTCTACACTTAAGACTCATGGCCATCTGATTTCAAAGGGAGATCTACTTGCAGAGAAGCTTACCATCCCAGGGAGCTGGCTTTCCCATTTCCCGCTTCCGTTTACTCTTTCTCTTCATAAAAAGTCTCCTATGAGGCTAGAAGAGAGGAAATTCAGAACTCGACAGGAGGCGTTCTACAAACTGACAGAGCACTGTCAGCTCTCCATTTTGCTTCTGCCTGTCCACTTTGTTGAATTCTGATTAACAGTATTAACACACACAATTCCTGCAACAGTTTCCTGTACTGAACTACAAAAATCCAGTCTTAATATTCCTAAAAATGCCTTTTGGTTACTGTTAAAATTTCAAAGCGCCTGCACCCTTAAAGAATCCACTTTGAGTCTTTACATAATTAAAGTAAAACAAAGGAGGTGTTTTACCAAGAGAAATGACTAATGAGTTGCTGCTTGGCCATCCCATCTTCCTTAGAAAATGAGGCAAGGTTCATCTGCAGATCTCCGAGCCAGGCAGACTCCCGGGGCGGTATTTTGTTCGCAGACACTGCCTGCTGCCTCACCATGTATATACACAGTAGTTTGTGGCCGTTGTATTTTTCTCTCTACATTTTAGCTGTGTTGTCAGTTTCTTTCAGAAACTTCTTTTTCTTTTCAATCTGTGTACAATTGTTAAAACAATCTGAAGAAAGAATGGAATGGAGAGAAGTACGAAAGCCGCCTACACGTGCAGTATTATGCATACTGTCCTTGCCAGTTTATCATTTTTTGGGTCGTTTATCTTTCACCTGTACTATTTTTCTTTCTTTCTTTCTTTCTATCTTTCTTTCTTTCCTTCTTTCTTTCTTTCTATCGCAGTCTTAGCTATTTAATTTCCAATTGCACTAGCTGGGCTGTTCCTTTGTATTATGAATTTCAGCTAAAAGATTTGCCATATATAGACAGTGTAACTCAAAATGCTTTGTACTGCCTGTATTAATTTAAAAAGCTGCTTATTTAATATTCTTAAGTATCTGCACATTTGTACTACTGTATCTTTGTTTTGTATTGGGCATCCAGTACTGGCAAGATTCAGAAGACCAAGGGAGTGCTGTAGTGTTGTATGTTAAGAGGTTTATTGTGTAGGAGTTAGTCTATACTGAATGGATGTGGTGGGGGCTTTTAAGCCATAGGACTTGCCAGAAAATCTAAAGTCTGAATGATGAATACTGTAAGTGGTTTGGTTTAAGTCCAGTTCTAGAGAAACCCCATTCTTGCTCACTTGGATCTTAATCCTGCAAAAACATAAACACATATGTACTCTGCTTGTTCTGCTTATCCAGGCAGTAGCACAACCACCCCCCCCCCCCCCCCATGTTGAGAAGTGTGCATGCAGGTCTCTGCAGTCACTTCTGGTTGCAGAACACAGTGCAAGCCTCATCCCTGGCTGTCAAGGGAGGCCCTAGGCTGAGCTGTGTGTTCAGGGTCCTGATGCCCTCTGTGCCACCAGCGTTGTGCAGAATGACTTGGGGAAGGACAGATCGTGTCCCCCATGGCAGGGGCTGTGCCAGCTGGCACAGGGGAGGGCCAGGGGGAATGGGCTTCAGGCACACCATACAGGAGAGGGGAGGGGATAAGCATTAAGATCCCAGTGAGAAGTGTGTGGTGTATTCTCTTCTGGATCCCACACTGGACAGGGGAGCCAGTGGCTGCCAGGTGCTGTGGCTGACAGTGGTCCGGAAAGATTTCCGGAGGGGGATATGTCTCCCAGTCCACCAGGACCTGGGACAGTGAAGTCTGATGTGACCTGCAGGCAGGATCTTGGGTTTGGTGGTGACCAGGAGGGTATTCCTGCAGCAGAGAGGCAGCAGCACTTTCATCAGACTGAGTCCAGCAAAGCGCTGAAGGATTTGTCTTTCCAGGTCCTCACCGCTGACCCCTTGTTACGTGTTGGGACGAGTGGAAAAACTCCTCTTTGTTGGGTATTAGGGCATGGATTGTTTCTCATTTCCAAGTACTGCTCGGTCTGGGACCGCACCAGCACCACACCAGGCTGGGTGCAGACCCCGGGTCAGCGCCATGTGGGGCGGGAGGGGATGGCTGTTTTCATGCACCCGCCTGCATGAGCGTCCTGATAGAGCCAAGTGGTACCTCATTTCTCCAAGTGCTCTGTGCAAATTAGAGACTAAGTATCAGTTATTCTTGAGCCTGAAGACATTTGTATGTAAGTGTTTAGCTTGACTGAAGTTGTCCGAGTTCACTCATGCAACAGAGATGCTGGGTGGAGCCAGCAGCTTTCAGCAAGTGAGCTGGCCACCTGGGTTGGGTGAGCCAAGCATCTCTGTCATGAAGTGATGGTGAGCTCACAACTCAGAGGTGATCCCAGCATGTCTCTGATATACTAACTTCGTTTGTGCTGCATAGAAAACTCTTTTACTTTCTTAATAGCAGCTTGTTTGACAGTCCTGAATTAAGTGTTGACCAATTATCAAAATAACTGTTTGTGAAGTTGCCAGTGATATATTTTCTGTAAACAAATTGATTCCGAGAGTTCAAAACATTAATTTCCCATTTCAGTTCATCCACGATTTGTGTAACTACCAGATTGTCATGGTAGTATCATTAATATACATACGTGTATATAGAAAAAAAATTGTCAGTGATGTTCATTGGAATCAAAAGGTTTAATATTTTTTCCCAATCAAATCCAGTAATGCTTCCAAGGTGACAGAGTGTACAGTTGTTAAACAAGTTGTAAATAAATGCTTATATAAAATGTAGATCCTTGGTTTTCCTTTACTTGGTCGTTGGTTACAAATGGAGGCCAGGGCACACACAGTTCAACCACGGCGGGGTGGGTGTGAGCCTGCAGTGCTTCTCTATGGAGTGTGGGGGCTGCTGCAGCCAGTCAGTCCATAACAGGGTCCGCTGTGGAGGGAGAATAACACAGGTGTAATACAAAGCTTGCCTTTCAATGCACTTAGGATCACTCGGGATGCACTACGTGACAGCTTAGGGGTGGGGGAGATGGACTCTCTACCAAGCACATCTACATCTGGGCTGCTTCAGTGTCCTTGTCTGCCTGATTCCCAGGTACACCGATGGCATCATGGGCATACAAAGGATGGTGGATGCTGTGCTGGAAAGCATCCCACGGGAGTGCCCATCGCAGCAGGAACTGCCTGGCATGGTTTACCTCCCAAAAGCCAAGGCTAAATTAGTTTCTCTTGCTGAGGGGAGTTTCACTACCTGTGTATCCAAGGCAGGAATGGGATGGGACATTGCTGACACAGAGAGAGCTCTTGAAACACATTCTGAGTCTAGCTAAAGAGGAGATGTTGCTTATTCTGCACAGGGTGCTCATTCATGCATTTCCACAAATCAAGCACAGCCCATGCCATCTTCTTCATTAGATTTATGTGCAAAAGTTACAAGGTAGTATATGGCACTTGAGATCACTTTTAATCTATAGTGAATGGTTCTTAGAGTCTCTCTTTAAAGGCATGGTATAGTTTCATTTTACTGCACCTTTGTTCATTCAGTCACCAGGAGCTGAAGCCAAGGCAGTTCTTCTAAGCCTTGACAGCTATTTACATAGTGTCTTCTGGGGTAAATTTCAACCTTCCTGCTGCAAACCCATCACCACTCTCCACGGATCAGCCCCTTTACTGTCAGGTATGTGGGCGGGAGGAGGCCATGCTGGACAGTGTCAGTTGTGAGAGGGCAGCACCCCACAGGAGGTAGGTGAGGTAAGATAGATCCTGCAGCCACGATTCCCATGTGTGGTGCTGGGGCCGAGCAGCCTTGCGGGGGCTGCTCTGTAGAGGGGCAGAGGCCAAAGCCGGGAGGATCCCCCCTATGGGCTGCGGCATCTCAGTGGCAGCAGTGGGAGCATCGGGGTTGAGGTGTTCGCAGGCTGTGTGGCCTGTGCTCTCCTGAGCCGAGCCCCAGGCAGCGTAACGTGGAGGCAGGAGCCGCAGCGCCTCAGCTCCTGGTGGTGGTAGTGACTCATTCACCCTCGTTCGTTACCACCCCCCTTCCCACGCCATTGCTCTTCTTCACCTTGGTCATTACTTAACCGCCTCTGACTGTACCCACCGGCCTCACCCCCTTCCCCCCCCCCCCCCCCAGCCTCTCTGTCCTTTCCCTGCGCTGTCTCCTTCCCCGGCTCCCTCTCCCACCGACCAGCGCAGAGACCCACACAAGCAGCCCTCGTTCCTGGCCCCGCCCCGTCCTTTCGGCTCCCCACAGCAGCTCCCAAGGCCCTCGTCACCACCCTCCAGCATTTCCCCTTCCCCATGTCCCACAGGGGGTATGGGGACTGTGCCCCCCTCACCCCACTACAGTTGCTGGTCCAACAGGGAGGATGCAGCATTGCGGGTTGTCTTCTGCTGGTACCTCTCCCGCAAACCCCACTGCTTCCTGTAGCCTCGGTATTTACAGGAGCGACCAGCCATTGCTGTGTTAAAAAGGTGGGAACACAAGCCAAAGCTTCACAGTTCCTCTTTTACATCTTTTTCCCCACAAGTAACTTTGAGCACTGGGCTGTGCAAATAAATACCCAGAAATAACTCTTGTGCCTTTGTTTGGCACCGCGGGCTGGTGCAGAGGTGAGGGTGAGGTAGGTCAAAGGAAAGGAAAGGAAGATTGTGTGATGCAATAGGACACAGAGATAGTTGCACCATTTGCAGCACCCTGCCAGTACAGCTGCAGGCCAAAACCCTTCCTGAGGCAATGGAGAGGAAGGAAAAGCCCCCATCCCAGTTGCAACCAACCCCCACCCCACAAACATTGCAGGGAAACAGTGAGGGCAGTGATACCAACTGCAAGGGAAAGAAGAGGAGGATCCGAGGTAAAATGCACTGTTATCATCACACCAGTTTGTGTGCGCCTCTGGGTCAGACACTCTAACAGAAGCAAGTGACAGACCCCTGCATACCCCAGCATGGTACAATTCCAAGTCAGTTTTCCACAGTCAGCTGGGGGGGAGCTTGTTCCCTTCAAACAAGTCTGCGTGTCCCTTCAACTGCTATGAAGTATTGGCACAAAACATGGGCACTTCTGTCCCCACTCTTCCCCAAAGGCCCTCTGGCAGCGCACCCTTGCTTGCACAAGGCTGACACCAAGGAGAGGAGGACGCTGTGTGTCAGCCGCACTGGGCAGAACGGCACCCAGCCCACCCGCATCCCCACCAGAACCTCTGCACAGGCTCCCAGCGGCTGCACTGGGAGGTTACAGACACACATGGGTTTCTGGACTGTGTTGATGCGGGTTGCACCACGCTCCAGCAACTGGGGAAGTCCAAGCAACAGGGTGCAAGGGCCATCAGGGGACTTGGGCATCACCCTTAAGGAGAGATTGCAGAAACTGGGCCTGTTAAATCCAGAGAATAAAAGACCAACAGGAAATCTCATTAGTGCATACAAATGTCTCAAAGGCAGGGGGCCCAGAGGATGGTGCCAGATTTTGCAGTGGTGCCCAACAACAGGACACAGAGAAATGGCCATAACCTAACACACAAGAACTTTCACCTCAACATGAAGGAGAACTTCTTTACATTGAGGGTGTTAGAGCACTAGAACAGGCTGCCCAGGGGACTCATGGAGTCTCCCTCGCTGGAGACACTCAAAACCTGCCTGGATATGTTCCTGTGTAACCTGCTCTTGGTGGCCCTGCCTTGGAAGGCAGCTGGACTGGGTGATCTCCAGAGGTCCCTTCCAACCCTAACGATTCTGTGACTGTGTGAAGCACCAAGGTCCCAGTTTCTGGCATGGGTATGCAGTGTGTGCTGTGATGCAGCTTTTGTTTTGTGGAGGGGGTTTCGATCCTTCACAGGGAAAAGGCAAAACACCTAAGGCTCTGTCTACTGCAGCCCCGACAACCCTGAAAATAAACATGAATGTCTTAGAAGTACCCCGAAAACACTATCCTGACCGAGCTTACTACGAAGAAAAACACTTTGCTGCGAACAGAATTGGCAACCTACTACAGTGAACAGTTTCCTAGTGGCTATTTCAGTTTGTTTCTAAACCTAAAAAACAAACAAAAACACATACCCCCACATCCCCAAAAAAACCCAACCCACACCACCAAAATAACCCCACAACCACACACACACACAGAAACATACAAAGAAAACCCCCAACACCAACTGAAGACTTGTAAGAGTGAATGTGATGCACAAAAATACCTTTAAATCCAAGCTGGCATATACTCAACCTCTAAGTAAACACAGATAATACCGGGTTGCATCCTCTCCAAAGCAAGTGGAGTGCAGTCTGGAAGTCACACAAGTGTCCTCTTGAGACCACCCATACATCAGTTCCAAATGGCAACACACTGAGGAGAACCTACTCGAAATGCATCTTGTTCCATGCAAACCTGAATTCACCTACCTATGAAGAGCTCAGGATTACATACTTCATCACCAGCGGGTTTAAAAAGTGGCTATGTGAGTCACAGCTGGAATTAAGGACAGCTGCAGAAGTTTCTGGAATAAGAGTATCTGGATAATACATCAAACCCAAAGAAAATCAACTGAACAACAGTCTTCAAAATGCTTTATTGAACCGTGTGTCTTATTGTAATGTGCAGAAGATGTGTTTGAAAAGACTACAGCTTGAAAAATTTCTGCAAATCCTCAACAATCAATAAAAAAGTCCCTACTGAGGGTAACTCTCAGGATAACCAGAGGCCTCGTGTAAAGTTTCTCTTGAAACATTTTCTGTTCCAGAGATTAACAGAAAACAAAGCCAGTACTGCTGCTCTATGTGGAAACAATAAAGATTTGAGGATTTAAAAGGAAAAAAAAAAAAAGAACACGAAAAAAACGGAACTTAAACTTCAGCCTATGGGGTTGCTTCTTTTGCTGCTGTTGCGCTGGATTAGCATACACATCACAGTTCTGCTGAGAACACCATCTGGTGTTCAAGTCTGTAGATTTACTCTAAAACCCTAGCAATGCTGCAGAGATGGAAGGATACATAGAAAGAGAGAGGGGGTGAGGTGAGGAAGATCTGGGAAGACACCATTATGATATAAGCCTAGTTTAAATTTTCATCAGAAGCTGTGTGCATTTTGGTTTTAATAATCTAACTATACATTCAAAAAATCCAAAGGAAAAAAAATAAAACCACAAAAAAAAAGAAAAAAAAAAAAACAAACAAAACCAAACATACCCATTCTGTCTTTGTCTTGGGGCTATTATAAACTTCTATGCACAAAAACACCATACTCTTGTTTTGCAAACCAGCAGGGTTAAAAGTATAGGCATGTAGGTGGCACGATTCAACTAAAAGGCTTTTTCAACCTTTTACACCAGCAAAACTAACCAAAAGAAACAATAAATAAAAGATGCTAAAGGTAGCATTAAGAATTCAATTGTAGTATTTCGACAATCTGGGAATCCGAACCCTCGAGCTCTCCTGATACTGACAGGTCTCTGCAAACTATGAAGCAAATACATAACTGAGAACATGATTGAGACTGTGAAAGGCTTTCAGAAACTAAAGACAACATGATCCAGATTAACTTTTTTTTTTAAAACAGTGAATATATGAATTGTCTACACCTGAATAAAACATATTTAACAATGAAAAAAAATTTAACAACCACAAACAGGAAAAACTTTAAACAAAAGTGAACATCATTTGATTTCAGGGCACACAAAAGCCCCTCGCAGTAGCTTCCCGCAGTGGCCTTACTGTTGTTCAGTCTCCTACAGGTGCATAAAATGGAACTTCAACTCCACACTGAGGTGATGGCTAACAGGGCAACATAACGGTCACATACAGCAAAACACCATGCCCTGGTCACAGCAATATATCCCACTGCAGAGGTTCCATCCTGTGCAGGAACAGCACATAAAGATGCCATTCTGTCACATACTATTCAAAAGCTACTTTGTGGCCATATACTGTTAGTCAGGGCTAACCTTTTTGTCACGTAACCTTTGAATAATGGGAAAGCTTTGGGTATTATACTTTTACTCCTTGTGTTTAAATTTTTTAAATGACAAGGTCACTAAAACTCATGCACGCTGCAAAAAACATCATGCAGTAGTTAAGGTAAACCATCCAAGCAGTTTTATTCATTAATATTCATAAATACACACAGCAGCTTCATTAGAGATTTTTTGTTGTTTTTTTTTTTTCTCTTCAGTTTGAATGTGGAGTATTAGGAGAGCCTTTTGCATGTCAAGGTACAGGACACAGAGCTTTTTGCTCTGCACTGCAACCTACATTTACCTGCTAGAAGTCAAAATTAGTTAAGTGGAAATGATTATCATATATATCTTTTCTCTCTTTCTTTTGAATGTACACAATGTAACAAGAGTGACAGACCTGAAATTACAATCACCAAAACAAACCCAAGATAGTTGTTGTCCACTTTCATTGGCAAATACAGCACAGAGGACATTGTCTGCAAAGTGGGATGTCATCAAAGAGGAGGTGGAGGAGGCTCGTTTCCTTTATTACTCTCTTTTAAATTTAGGTTTTCTAAAGCAACATCTAGAGGCATAATATCTACACAGCCCATAGCACCAAAATCTGCAATCTCCCCCCGCTCATCCTCATCTGAGGAGGAACTTTCTTCCTGCATCAAAGTGGACAGTAGAAGCTCCTGAACAAACAGGCTGCAGTCTGCCCGCTCACTTTCCATTGACTGACGCTCCACTTCCGACATCTTCGGATCATTCAACCTGTACAGCAGCAAGGGAAGAGGAAGACAGGCAGCTGGTGAAGGCCATTTCCCCAATAACACTACCGACAGGTGCCAAAAGGCTCTTGAAAACAACTCCTTCAGGACGGTCCTGCCTGCTCTGGCAGCCTCCAACACCTCAGCACAACAGGCACGTATGTAACCAACCACCCCTTCCCTGCTGCTATCACAGCATTCAAAGCAGAGCCCAAAGCTAGAGGAAAGTAAACTATTTGTGAGTTTTCCTGGTATGCAGAAGTCTATCAGTGAGAGCTGCCACGGTTTCCTAGACACTCATTATGTGCCTCTTTTTGTTTCTACACCAACTTCTAATTTCACATATACCACAAAATAAATTACTGCATGTGTAAAGCCTAAGGATTCTCAAAAGCACAATGCAAAGTTTATTCCACTGCTTCTCCTGGATTAGTGTGCCCCAACAGGCAAGGAAATTCCAACTCTGGAAGTCACAATCTGTGAAACTTACAGGTATTTTGATTAAGTCTCTCAAATAATAATGTGAGTTTCTGGCATTGGTTTGCACTTAGATAAAAAATTTATTAACTCAAATCCAAGTTTCTTGACACAGGAGCTCTGGAAATGTCCACACTCTTTCACAGGATCAAACAGACAAACAAGACCATGTACGGGGCAGCATGGTGGGGGAGATGAGGAAAACATTTTTATTTCAGGTCAACACCCAATCTTCTAAAAGAACTGGAATGACATAGTGGGTGACTCCTCTTTAAAATAACCCTGGGAAGTATAATTTCTAAACCAGGTAAATATTCTGTTAATTTATAGTATCCTTTATTTGCTTTGTTATCCGGTCTTCAAAAATAATTAATATATAAACCCTTTTCAACCTTCAGTTTTTAACTGAAGACTGATTTTCTATTAAACAATGCTATCTTTGATTCTCCATTACAGCTCAAGTCTATATGGTTGTATCACTGGAAATGCACTTGTTTTGTTGGAAGCAGTAGGGGAAACAAGCACTTTTTTTTTTTTTTAAACAAACCACTCCTTTTGCTCCTGTTAAAACAGATGCAGCAACCAATGCTTACCCATTGCTTAGGAGCAGACAGACAGTACATTTAAAAAGATGTTACAAATGCAAACAAAAGCACATACACTGGCTGCAGATTTGATGAAGGATCTGGCAGAAGTCCCCTGCCAGGAGTCACAAGTAACTTACTCAGCCCAATCACAAAACCATCCTTCTTTTAAAGGTTTGCAGAAATTTATACTCAAGCCTAATTCTTTAAATGCATTTCTAGGTGCATCAAAAGTAGTACCAGCACACCTGTGAGACTGCCTCTCCTTTTCACAAATACAAGACCACCACAGGGTATTTCTGCTGCCAGCTCCTGGAGTTGGCTTTCCAAAAGTAGATTAATGCCCTTCCAGCCAGCTATAAACTGCTACTGTTGGATATTATATTATCGGTTTCACTTTCATACTAGAAATGCGAATGAAGCAAGTTTTATGTATCACACATTCTGTGAGCATGGCTGATGTCACTGTGAATGTATTCCATATGATTAATTAGCTCATTAACTCTGGGATATATTTGATCAGACACTGCTTTACTAGGGCATGTGCCTAACACTTCAGTTTCATTGAGCTATGTCTCTACCAGAACCAAGGCAAACAGAAATGGTAAAAGATAAATAAAAGTAAATAAACAGAGCAAGTTACCTCGTGAGAAGAAACTGGGAATTCTGGATAGTCTGCTGACTGTTTTCTGTGTTAGATGTGTTGGTGGTTGTTGTAGATTGTGTCATAGTGGTGTTAACATTGATCGTATTGGTGCGTCTAGTTGCATTGCGTGCAGTCTCCAGTTGTTGTCTTGCTGCCTGTGCATGTTGTCTTTCCAACTGCAGTTGCATTTGCAGCTGCTGTAACTGAGAAGCAGAAGGGCCAGAGGAGTTGAGCTGTCCTCCTGCAGAACGCCTCACACCTGATAGCTGAGATAAAAGCTCTGCCAGGGAAGAGAAAGTTTCTGTGATGATAAATAAGTATTACACAATGGAACGAATACACCCTTCATCAATTCCTTTTCTCAATAACATCAAACAACAAACAATTCAAAAGAGCCCACAAAGCTCTAGAAAAAAAGTCCTAGCATTAAGTGTCTCAAAGGGTAAGGAAGATTAAGACTCATTTATGTTGATCTCTTTCAAGTCAGTCAAGAGTTCAATGCCTTCAGAATAACAGGTGAGCCAATCTATAAGGAATGCCTGGAAAATGATGCCCTTTGCAGCAACTCCTTAAAGCTTCAAGTCAAAACAGCAGATGACTAAAACTATTTTATTCTGGCTTTGGTTGGAGATTTTATTTTCTGATAAGATTTTATTTATTTATATTTATTTATTTGGTGATTTTATTTATTTATATTCCCCTCAAATACAGGCTTCACCTTCCAAAAATCCCACAGGGAAGCTGCACTGCAGCAAGAAGACAAATACTGAACCACTGCCTCAAACATCCAATAAAACATACACAATAAAAAAGTACTGCTTCACATCAGAACTGACCCTATGAATTATTATTTCTGACAGAAGTACGAGAAGACCTAGCAATTACATACTCTGTCCTTAAAGTCTTCCAGTTCAGAGGGATGGAAATGCTTATAGCAGATTTCATCTACAAAGAAATTTCTGAAATAAGTATTATCAGCAATTCATTGCTCCGTGTATTACTGCAGAATCTCCTCTGCACCCTGTGTAGAAGATACTATTATATAACCTGCTTGCTGTAATTGATGTAAGGCCAGACAAAGGAGGGCGTGGTACGGCTTCTGCCCCTTAACTCTGTATTGACAAGTTACTATATAGGTCATGACAACTGTCCTTCCATTAACAAAATATAATACTTCTAAATAAGGCTTTCTTTGAGGCAATAAAGAAAATTACAATTGTTTTCTGTGTCAAGAACTCAGAATGGTCAAGTAATTTTTACCAGCACTCACAGCAATACCAAGATCAATTAACTTAATTCCACCATAATTGCTAGAAAATGCCAAACAAGTTATTCCTGGGAATCCTAGAGACATTCATTCATGATTTTCTGCTGCTGAAAGTGAGACACCCTTTCTCCCCCCCCATTTTTCTACACATGACCAAAATACACTGAAAATACTTGCAACAATACATCTATATAAGAATTTACAAGTACACCTGAAAAAATAGATCCATGATATTAGCAAGTTCTGGCATTCAAACAGCAGCCTGAATGCAAATTGAACATATTTTAAATGTCCGTTAATATGCAATTCAGCTAATTCCATCTTCACTGAAACAGAAAGTCTCCTCCATGAACACTTTTATCCACATGGCAAATCAAAATAAGACATACTAAAAGTAGGTGATGAAAGCTGAACACAGTCACCCGTAAAAAAATATGCAGCACCTTTGCACAGATCAGGGTTGGGAAATAAGCCTTATGCTGTCAGGATGAAAAGCAAAAGCTACAGCCAGTGGTTTCAGCTTCAGCACCTCCATGCACAGGCCCTGTGACAACCCAGCTAAGCACACTGCTCACCTGCAAGCAGCCACCAACTACATCAAGCACGGTGGAGCATACCTGCGCATGCAGCTTCACACCAACAGAAAGCAGGGCAGCTACTATCACCTTGAATTTTATTTCCTGTGCAAGGAGGACACTGGGGTAAAATCCACAGTTACAGCTCTTACCAGCTATAGGATCCATGGCTTCTCTATTGCTTGGAGAATACGAACTCTGAGAAGATGAAAGCCCACCAGGGGAAGTGGTAGTAAAGTGCATGTTTGATCTACGTGCACGGGGGCCTCCCAAACCCCGGCCTGGGTGGAACATCCTACGTACATGCCGAACACCACTGGATTCATCGTAACCAAGAAGTTAAGAAAGCAGAACTGTCTGGCATTGAGAATTAAATGACAACATTTTATGGGTGAAATACTTAGGTGAACACTGTTCTTCATTCATAATGATCTAACTTGTGAGGCAAAGCTATGGTGCAGTGTAGGTACAGCACAAATCCGAGTTAGTCAGCTGAACTCAAGATACACAAGTCCTGTGTACACCAAACTCCCTTCAATTCTCCAGCTTTTTATGATGCCTAGGAAACATCAGGATCCATTTTTAGGCTTTTTTAGATCAAAAGTTTTCTACTCAGAAATGTGAAAACTCTGACAAATGCATGTTCAGCCTACCTTATCACAAAAACAGGAATTTTATTTTCCCTCCCCAATTCTTAGGTACTGAAAATAATAATAAAAAAAAAAATTGCCATACCTATCAAAAGTACCTGGTAACTGTACTCCTTTTGACTTGCGTTTCATGTTTTTATCCAAGAAATTTCATAACTTCAATCCCTAAGAAATGATAGGTTTCTGGAGTATTCAGCACTTTCACCTTTCCTCTTTTAGCCAAAGAAATACCACTAATTCCAGTTATGACAATGTCATTTTTCATTTTCCCCCATTTCTCCATACCAGATGCTTCTATTTCAAGTCTACCTTTTGTATGTTTCTCATATAAATTAAGAAATAAAAAAAGTATTTTAAGATTTTTGTCAGGAAGTTCTTAACACTTATTCCTCCAAGACAGCCCAAATAAGGGTTAATTTTAAAAATCACTAGTATAACTCACCAGTGAAAAATGAAACAGCATAGGCTTGATTATCTTATTTTACTGTTACTAGAATTTTAGTTTAGATGGTATCTCCCATGTTTTTTTGTTTTTATAATAGTAGGCTTACCACAGTATCCATTACAGTACAGTGAGAGTACGGTGTCCAATGTACTTTTCTTAAAACAGTTACAGCGCAGAACTCAGGATATCATGGAGGAGGTCAAGAACTTAAGACTGAAAGTCTTGCCATGAAACTATATTTCCCACAGCAAGGAAGAACTTCTGGCCTTACAAAAAGAGTTTACAGAATGTCTGCCTTTTTCAAACCTATTAGTATGCTACAGGGTAAAACACTTAATATCTAGGGTGTAACAGGTAAACCTCCCATGACACAGAACACGCTTTGCCTAGCACAGAGTGCCTTGCACCTCTTAGGTGTTAAAACTAGATGTTGCTGGAGACAAGGTACTGTATTAGGTGGACTACTGTCCACAGTTCAGCAAGACTGTCATAACTAGACCTGACAGAAAAGGCCAGTACCTGGAGCTTTTTCAGACACAGGACTACGGGGTAAATTTCTTAACTGCAGCTTTTGAAGTGTTTTAGGATAATTCTTTAAATACTAGCAACGCATGTGCCCAAGTCTATGCTAGATTAAAACGATACTCTGTAGACCATAACTTGTGACAAAAAGATTAACTGAATATCCATGCACAAACCATTGGTATGACTGATGCTGAGAAGCCATTTCAAATAAATTTTCAAATATTTTTCTACTCAAGTAAGAAACTGGGCTTTAAAAGAGTTGTCCCCAGACTGTAGGAGTAAAGTACACACTTTGCAATGGCTTCACAAAGTTACATATTCAGCCTTCTGGGACAAGAAAAAAAAAGAACACAAAACCCCCCAAACCAAAATATGTCTAATCAATATGTAGTGATGCAGCTACTCCTTAGAGCTCTAGCAGACCCAACAATAAAAAACTTACTCAGACTGTGACAGAAGTCTTCACTCTAGAAAAAGTGCAAATGAAGAGCCTTCTCTATATCCCTTCTGTACATGAAGATTGTTACAGAGCATGGAGTGTTTTTCTGTACAGCTTTAACTTCAGGTGAAGTTGTTCAGAAGAGCCACACAATGGTATCAAAGAGCAGCCTTTTAACAGCTCCCTGACTTTGACAGTTATTTTCTCCTATGCTGGCAGATCCTTTTTTCCTATTTTAGACCTGCCTGCACTAGACAGGAAGTAAAGTCCAGCATGGAATAATCACTTCAGGATACGCTTCTTGTCAGGTTTTGGAGACAAGACAAGTGATAGCATACAAGCAGAAAATTCCATATGCATTGTATTTTATGCTGAATCATGGACAATTTATTCCCCAAAATTATCCAAGAAAGATCCATTTTGAGATGATTGACAATGAAGCACTACTCTGTATTTGAAAAAAAGATTTTTTTTCTAACTCAAGCATTCATTCTCAACTTAAGTCATTCAGTGGCATCTCTTATACTGGTTTGGGAGAAAAAGCTGAAGAAATTTGAATTCTCAAACATCTATTTCATTTCAATATGAAATTAACTGCAGCCTAAGTGGGAAGATTTTTGGCCCACAGAACAGTTACACACACTCTGCAGTAATTAACATGTGCAGTTAGTCTGTCCTGACCTTAAACCATAGTAACACTAAAGCAAAATCATAACAGAAATTGAGACATCTCATTAAATGCTGTCTCCCTCCTGTTAGCATAATACCCAGTTGCTACGGCTTGGATTATTTCTTACTTTTCTTTTACTCCAGTTGCTTTTTTTTGTTTTCTTCCTTTTTAAAAATCTTTAAACAAAAAAGCCACTACCAAGGTAATAAAGTACTCTTTTTGTCTATTTGTTTAAATGAGACAAGGAATACTTCAGAGACACTTACTTTAGGGAAGCTACATGAAATAAAAGCCCAAACCAAATTATATTTAGTCAGTTAACCCAGGTTATGTGTGTGTGCTCCAGGAGATCTGAAAGTTCTCCAGGGTATGTGTCAGTAACAATGAAATCGTTTTCAGTGAATTTTTTTTCAATGAAAAAAGTTTTCAGAACATGGTCTTGAAATCAGTTAAGCAAGTTTAAAAATCATTTGCCAAAACTAGCTGAGCTCAACTTATCCTCAGATCATGTCACAAATACCTACAGCACACTACTGAATCTGGATACATAAAGCAGCATCAAGACTAACGATAAGGCAGGAAAGACCACAGTGCAAGTAGAAATAAAACTCTGTGTCCAAGTTCTTTACCTTTGCTGTTAGAGCGGAAAGCACTGCCAAGTTTATCTACAGTCTCTTCACAATCTAGTATTTATAATCTTTTAAACTAGTAAATGAACCTTTTTATTTTTGACATACAGATCTTTAGCAGCTTAAGTTCCACAAAAACTGGAGGTTATGACCCTTTGACCATAAAAAGCAAAAAGTTATCATGGCTACTAGATGAAACAGTCTAGCCTCTGCCACAACTTGGAAAGGATATTAGATCTCTAGGAGCTCTGTGTTCCAGTGTAAGATGAGCTGCAAAGTCATCTGTGACATGATTGGGATCCCCTCCAGGTAATGCTGCACATATTGGACAGATCTGAAATGACAAAGGAAAAACGTGACTACAAACAGAACTCATATTGTTGAGGGAATCATTAGACAAATGGGCATAATTCTTATGCGTTGAAATCACAGTCCAGATATTCACAAACACTGATAGCAACATATTCAAAAAACACAGAAAATGTATCCAAGTGCAGCCAAAATTTATGTATCTTTTACTTTGCAATTTTCAGAATGTTAGGAAAACCAGAGCTAGAATTTTCAAATTCAGTTTGCAGTGTCTTGAAACTTACTCTTTGTACACAAATTGTCATAAACAGTAGACTCTGATTACATAGGATTACTACTTACCTGCTTGACACTCACTGCAGCAGAGAAAACAGAATGTGCAAGTATTTACGTAAGTATCAAACTGGGACCACCCATCCAGGCAGTTGTGTAACTACAGGTTTGGCAGAGAGAGGCTGTTACCCATATACCTACACAACAGTATTTTGGCAGAAGGCACTTACGTCTGTCTGTGGTTTATTTGTTGGGTTTTTTTTTAAACAAAACAACATGTTAACTAAGACAGTGTCATAATTATGGCTTGTTTTTTGAGTAACTTCACAAACAGCTTGGAAAGCATCTTCTGTTTTTCTTTATGATAGTTTTGCAGTCTGCTTTTAAAGTTCTACAGATAACAGAAAAAAACAACCCCAAAAACTCCATTCCACAAAAATCTTCCCTCACATGTTAAATGCTCAAATTACAGAATCACAGAATCCCAAGGGTTGGAAGGGACCTCAAGAGATCATCTGGTCCAACCCCCCTGCAAGAGCAGGGTAACCTAGAGTACATCACACAGGAACTTGTCCAGGCGGGCCTTGAATATCTCCAATGTGGGAGACTCCACAACCCCCCTGGGCAACCTGTTCCAGTGCTCTGTCACTCTCACAGTAAAGAAGTTTTTCCTGATGTTCACATGGAACCTCCTATGCTCCAGTTTACACCCATTGCCCCTTGTCCTATCACTGGACATCACTGAAAAAACCTAGCTCCATCATCCTGACACTCACCCTTTACATATTTGTAAACATTGATGAGGTCACCCCTCAGTCTCCTCTTCTCCAAGCTAAAGAGACCCAGCTCCCTCAGCCTCTCCTCATAAGGGAGATGTTCCACTCCCTTAATCATCTTTGTGGCTCTGCGCTGGACTCTTTCAAGCAATTCCCTGTCCTTCTTGAACTGAGGGGCCCAGAACTGGACACAATATTCCAGATGTGGCCTCACCAAGGCAGAGTAGAGGGGGAGGAGAACCTCTCTTGACCTACTAACCACACCCTTTCTAATACACCCTAGGATGCCATTGGCCTTCTTGGCCACAAAGGCACATTGCTGGCTCATGGTCATCCTCCTATCCACCAGGACCCCCAGGTCCCTTTCCCCTTCACTACTTTCCAGCAGGTCAGTCCCCAACCTGTACTGGTACATGGGGTTGTTCTTCCCCAGATGCAAGACTCTACACTTGCCCTTGTTGAATTTCATCAAGTTTCTCCCCTCCCAGCTCTCCAGCCTGTCCAGGTCTCGCTGAATGGCAGCACAGCCTTCTGGTGTGTCAGCCACTCCTCCCAGTTTAGTGTCATCAGCAAACTTGCTGAGGGTACACTCAGTTCCCTCATCCAGGTCGTTGATGAAAATATTAAACAGCACTGGTCCCAGCACTGACCCCTGAGGTACTCCACTAGTCACAGACCTCCAGCTAGATTCTGCCCCATTGACTACAACTCTCTGCCTTCTTGCCTTCAACCAGCTCTTGATCCACCTCACTACCTGATCATCGAGCCCACACTTCCTTAGCTTATCTATGAGGATGCTGTGGGAGACAGTATCAAATGTCCTACTGAAACCAAGAAAAACCACATCTACCACTCTACCATCATCCATCCACCTAGTTACTTCCGCATAGAAGGCTATGAGGTTGGTCAAACATGACTTCCCCTTGGTAAAACCATGTTGGCTGCTCTTAATGACCCCCTCATCCTTGATATGTCTAGAGATGGTGTCAAGAATAAGTTGTTCCATCACCCTTCCAGGGATGGAGGTAAGGCTGACCGGTCTATAATTACCCGGGTCCTCCTTCTTGCCCTTCTTATAGACTGGCGTGACATTTGCCATCCTCCAATCCTCAGACACCTCTCCCGTTTCCCACAACTTACCAAAGATGATGGAGAGTGGCCGAGCAGTGACCTCTGCCAGCTCCCTCAGCACCCGTTGGTGCATTCCATCCGGACCCATCAATTTATAGATGTCCAGATTGCTTAACTGATCCCTAACCCAATCCTCATCTACCAAAGCAAACTCCTCCTTTATCCTGACTCCTTCTGGGGCTACAGTAATCTGGGGCCCCCAGGGAGAGTCTGCAGGAGTAAAGACACAGGCAAAGAAGGCATTCAGCACCTCTGCCTTCTTTATATCCTCTGTCTCCAGGTCACCCACCTCATTCAGCAGTGGGCCTACATTGCCTCTTGTGTTAGTTTTATCCGCCATGTGTTTGAAGAAGCCCTTTCTATTGTCCTTAACCCGACTTGCAAGATTAAGTTCAAGGAGGCCTTAGCTGTCCTAATTGCCTCCCTACATCCTCTAACAACTGTCCGATATTCCTCCCAGGTGGCCAGCCCCTCCTTCCATAATCCATAGATTCTCTTTTTCCACATGAGTTTGCCCAGCAATTTCTTGTTTAACCATGCTGGTCTCCTGGCTCCCTTACTTGATTTCCTACCCATTGGGACACTCTGATCCTGAGCTTGGAAGAAGTGGTCCTTAAATGCTGACCAACTATCTTGAGCCCCTTTCCCACCTAATACCCTTTCCAATGAAACTTCCCTTAGCAATTGATTGAAGAGGCCAAAGTTGGCCCTTCGGAAATCCAGAATTATGGCCTTGCTAGGTATTCCATTCCTCCCACACAGGATCCTAAACTCCACCATCTCATGATCATTGCAGCCAAGGCTGCCACTGACCATCACCACTTCAACCAGACCCTCCTTGTTGGTGAGTACTAGATCCAGCAGCGCTCCTCTCCTAGTTGGTTTGTCCACCATTTGCATTAAGAAGTTATCATCAGTGCACTGGAGGAACCTCCTAGACTGTGAGTGATTGGCTGTGTAAGTCTTCCAGCAAATACCAGGGTAGTTAAAATCCCTCATGAGGGCCAAGGCATGTAGTCATGAGGCTGCTTTCAGCTGCCTATAGAAAGCCTCATCAACTCCTTTGTCCTGATCAGGAGCTCTATAATAGAACCCCACAACTGTATCACCCGTACCAGCCAGTCCCTTAATCTGTACCCACAGACTTTCCACCTGCTTTTCATCTGCCCCTGGACAGAACTCAATACATTCTAGTCACTCTCTCACAACTCCACCACCTCACTTTGCTGACCTATCCTTCCTAAAAAGGACATAGCCATCCATGACCACATTCCAGTTATGTGAACTGTCCCACCATGTCTCTGTAATTGCCACCAGATCATAACCTTCAGACTGCACACAGACTTCTAACTCCTCCTGTTTATTCCCCATGCTGCGTGCATTGGTGTACAAGCATTTCAGGGAGCGAGCAGAGCACACCAGTGGGACCCTTGGGAGGTGGGAGGCCTTCTGGTCTTCATGAATACCACAACAATGCCCCACTAGTTCAAACCCAGCTACAAACACTGCAAGCTCTGTATCTAAACAGAAATAATTGCTTGAATGCCTAAGACCACAAATATTTAGAATCCATATTTTCTTCTTCAGTAATACTGTAGTCTTTCACTATCCAAGCAGTTCCATGCTTGGATATGAACACTAACCATTTATCACAAAAGCCAGATTAAAAATGTAGGAAATACACAGTCATATTCAAGGATTAAAATATTGTCCTTTATCACTGTTTTAAACAAAGATTTAACAATGTTGCAGATAGACTCATAAAAAGGATCTTGCATTTTCTTTACACATACACCTCTTTCACGAATCGGTGGAGTAGCAGGTGCCTAGGATCACAAATCCAGGCTTTATGTACTGCGTTCCGGAAGTCACCGCTGCAAACAAGGGTGTGTCAAATTTAAAAATCTGGAATTGTAACATTCTCTGTCAGGATCATATCACTGACATCAAGTGGTGCAAATCAGAACTGCAGTACTAAACCACCAAAGCAAGCCATCCAAACACGGAACTTTCAACGGCTGATGCTCCATTTGACAGTTGTAAAGTTAAAGAAAAACTCAAGGAGATGATACAAACTACTGTGCGTTACTAAGTTAAACTATATCCCTCAGCGCAACTATTTGCAAAGTAAACTTTAACTTCATATGTCCTTAAGGGCAATCTTAACACCTTTGGAGTCTCAAACAGGCAGGCAAACCAGCTCCCTTATCACTCCTTTGCACTAGATCCTTAACAGGGATGGAGTGGAAAGGTTCATTTTCTTCCACATAATTCCTTGGAAGTTAAGAAAACTAGAAGATTAGAATATAGAACCTATTTGTAAGCAATTTCTTCACAATGTATTAGTAATAATCCACTTCAAGCGTTCACATTTTTTCTAGGAATCTATTTAGCCAGACAAGAGCACTCTAGATGTCCTGCTAACCTCATTACTCCTACTCTCAAAGACCGTCAAGACAGCAGGAGCTAACACCTCAGATGAACAAGTGCCAACGGAAATAAATGTTCTACCAGGTTAGGGATGGGGGAGACAACCCTGCCTTAACAGCAATAGTATCAGAAGAATGACAGCTTTCACTGCACCTGCATACCAGGTCTATCTGAAGAACATATCAAATTGTCTCCCTCTCTTTTACAGTTACAAAAGATTGGCATAGATATGAGCTTCCAGGACAATTACACACTGATTGTGAAAAGCGAGACATTGCCACAGAGAGTAACCCATAACACTGTTCTGAATTCTGCCTTACAGGATAACCTCCTAAACATGGCAGCCTTCGAATCAGGACAAACAAACAGCAACCACAAAAGAAAGCAAGCTCATTATATTACAACACACACGAAACACACAATTTTGATGTCACTGCCAAACATAGCTATGTCTTCCTATAAAGCTTCTATATTCTTCTACAGTATTTTATATTTTATTTAAATGAATTCATGCTTCAAGAAAGAAAAAGGAGGATACCAATTTTCCAGCAGAGAGACTCCTTTTAATGTATGTCTACCACAATTGAAAGCCAATTCTGGAGGATCTTACCACTTCTGTTGATGTTTCTGCATGCTCAGAAGTAACATGTTCTTGAAGAGATGTTTCTGTATAACCCATTTTTCCACAATAAGGACAAGTAAAAGACTGTGGCTGCTCTATAGAGAAAGCTTCTCCACCATAGTACAAATCTGTAACAGAAAGTGTTTAAACAGAGGTTACATCAAAGCAGTAATGTTTATTTTGTTCATGTAAATCTCTATACATGTATTTCAATATAATCACTGCCAAATTTGATATTTAATTGAAACGGCTATTTTAATGTTGTATAAAGGCTGATATTCCAGAAGTGTGCAAATTCTGATGACAAAACCAGACAGACTACTTCTCATTCTCATTAGGAAAGACAACTTAGTTTTCTAGTATTCAGAAGAAGAGGTTCTTAAGTATATATGCTATTGATACTACCAAGCCTGCAAACCCTCACTTTTCTATCACTCTTATTAAGCCACATAACAGGGTCACCTATGGTATTGTTCAAACATAAGATGAAGTTTTCAAAAACTGGACTCTCAAAAGTACCTTAAAAATTCACAGTTTAAATGTCCTCAGTGATAGCATATATCAATATTTATCCTGCAGCTGAACAACTGCTTTGCAACAAGTAGTTTTAGAAACATCTTGAATATGTAATATAAATGACTGACAGTGAAAAAGTAGTCTGATTATCTGTCATACACAGGTTGCAACTTTTAGGTGTGTTGAATTTAAGCATTTCTGCATATCTGATAAGAAACAGGCACTTTTAAGTTGCTAATGTAGAAGTTCCAAAAACTTAACGTGAAAATGCATCAAGCCATATAAGAAAAGAATGCTTTTCTCTCTCATCTTGTGCAGGTATCATGTATAAAACAAGAAACATGAATAAACTTCACATTCACATCACTATAAATGTGATCTTCAGCAAGTAATGCAAATTTTTTTCACTGACATTCTTGCTAGCACTCGTAAATACTTGAAAAAAATTCATAAAATTATAAATATTCTGCTATAAATTAAAAATCGGACAAGTCTGAACAGATACTAGAACTCATGTTCTGCACTGCAAGGCAGTTATCTGTGTAGTGTGTTAGGAAGACGTCCTTCTGACTGCTTAAGTTGAGGTTTCCTAAGGTTTATGACATCTTCTGCTATTGGTGTCTTTAGAACATGACTGGGAAGAACAGAAGAGCATTTTTGCTTCTGCAACTTTACAAAAGATGTACAAGGTAAAAAGATATGTACCTATAATCCATTATATTAACAGAGCATTTCAGATATAACTAAGTTTTGAGGGCTAACACTCCAAGATGGTACAGGAAATCAACTTCAGTAACATGCGAATACGCATAGTTAAAGATACATGATCAGACTGAATATACTATAGAACAAAGTTAATGTTTAGTAAGTCCCTGTTTCTCTTATCTGGAAACAGCTTCTAAAGCATTTAAATGCTAGAGGAAGAGAGAAAGATATTCCTTTAACAGGCATAGTAAGAAATGGCCGACGAGGCAAAATGTACTTGCTAAAGAAGTAACACTACCTGACACACTGAGCATTTTAACTGATTCATCAAATTAACTACCACTGTAAGCTTGAGTATCATCCTTAATTTAGGTTTATTTATTCACATACACATGAAGAAAACACACCCAACTATCCAAAACAAAATTTACAGCCAATTAAGTCTTAGTTCCCCAAAGCAGCATTTGAGGTTTCACTGACTGTTTCATACAATAAAGCATGGAAGTGAATGTTCAGAGAATGGAACTCCATATGAGATGCGACTAAACAGAACTGTACAGACTAAAAGACAGCATGAATGTAAGCTGGAAGACATGCCCAAAAGACTAGCATACCCACCCCCCAACCTGCAAGTCATTTATATAGTACCAACACAAACAGATGCCTGGAATCACTATTAGAGCCAATCACAAAGGTCATTGCACAACATGTATCAGCACTCAGTTCTAAATTCATCTGAGTCACCCAACACACAGAACGGGTGTTTCCTTGACAGGCTGTCAGGCATCCTAACAACAAGACATGTGGTGTGTCTTAATTCAGAACATCTGTCCTTACCCAATTCCCTTGAATCCTTGGGAAGAAGCAGTGAAGCTATGAGAAGGTGGGAGAGGTCACTGACCAACACTTAAATTTACCATATTCAACTGAAGCCAACAATATTAACAGATTGGAAGAAAACTTTTTACAAACTCTTAAATCTGCTTGTCTGGTTTACAAGCTAAGTGTATATTCTGAATGCTCAAACCCAGGACCAGCAAATTCCCCCACATCCAGGCTTTTAAAACTATTTGTTCTTACCCATTACTCACAATAAGCTTGTGTTTTTTATTCTACGTGAGTAGACTGGTATCACAATTACTTTGACAGGTGACCAGGAACACTGGGCCTGAGGCAGTATTACATCATTAGCATTCCAACATCAGCTAGGTACAGGTGTTAAGCAACATCAGCCTAGAGGATGAACCAATCAGATTTACTTACATACACAACTACCTTAGGACTGGAATAGCCTCTCTAAAACTACCACACACATTTTCCAGGTAGCAACTGGACTCCGTTCACAAGTTTTACCATCTCCTCTTATTTACATGACATGCAATAAAGACTTACATGAAAATTAACCTGCTCCAAGTTTGAAATGTTATGGAGACTGTTTCAGATAACACACAGAGAAGATATATGTAATTCATAGAATCTGGAGCTCCTAACCACTGTTACTTCAGTATATATTTCAATAAGTACTCTGAAATTTTCTCTAAGAATTTGTTGTAGCCAAAAACCTGAGTGGGGGTTAAAAAACAAAAAACCAACCACCAATATGCTGCAGCATACTCAAATACAGAGAATTTACCTAAGTCATGGTTTCAAATGAGGAAACCACAAACAAGGCTTACATGGGACTATGTTTTAAGCAGTTAATAAACCAGTCTCTGAGTGGATCAACTAAGAGACTCGAACAGGTATTCTTTCAGAAAAATATACCTGTAAGACAAAGGATTCAAAATGGCAGTTGTCTAGAACAATAAACGCAAAGCGTTCCATGAGGACTGCTGAAAGAACCCTCCTTACAATTAGATGAAGAAAAAGTCGAAGTAACTAATTAATTAAGTAATTAATGTAAACTTCAGTTCTCAGTTTTCATACGTCCTAAATATGTAACAAAATTGGAACTTTATTAGTTTCATAACAAAGCAAATAAGACAGCCAAATTTTTTGAACTGAATAGTTAAAAATTCTAACTTTAACTGCATTTAATCTGCCCCAAACAGCATGTGTAAATACTATATTGTTCTCTGAAATCAAATACTGCAACAAGAACTTCTGCAAAAAAGTTCTGCATACTTGTGGGAATAGCAGAAATGCCAGTCACACACACATCAAAAGCTAATGACAGTTTGTTTAGTTTATCCTCTTATTTCCCTCAAACTTTGGTATGATCTTCATGATGATGATAATTTAACACCTACTTAATGATTGGAAAAATGAAATTCTCCATCACTGCAAACATGCACATACAAGCACACAAGAACACCGGAAGTCAAATTTTCCTTTGAAGACTCCTTCTAGTGGAGCAGACTAATTTCTGGGAATTACCAAAGTCCTGGCATCTTACATACTGAAAGGGATGAAGCAACATGCAGACTCAAATGGGCAAGCTAATGAAAAAAAGGGCAAATGACCTTACTCTGGATTTTTCAGCTGGATTTGCATGTAAAAATAATTCTGCATCTACTACCTAAAAAGAAAAAAAGTCCTTCAAAATTTTCAGGTGGTCCAAAACCCTCTACCTTATTATAAGCCTATTTCATGTACATTTTTCAAGTAAAGCTTAAGCACCAACTCCAACTCTGTAGATAAGCAAAGGGCACAGGGCCACAATCTAAAGTAGTGGTAAACAGATTAGCATGCAGGCAAAAATACCTTTTCCTTGGACATGCTGTTAGCTCAGTCCAGATGTCAAAAATGCCAGCAGTAAGTACACACTATTCTATCACAGAGTGCAGAGGTTTGATGAGTACTCTTAAATCCCATGCTTCTGGCCTTTGCTTTTAGACAACGTGACACAACCCATTTGTTAATTAAAAAAAAACCCACAACAAAAAACCAACAACCCCCAAAACCAAACATCCTCCCCCCTCCCCGCCCCAAAACCGAGTTCTTTCCAGCCTCCTGATTATACTCCTGCATGTTCTCCCACTCATGACTCCTTCCATCTTTCTCATAATACAAACAAATATGGACATGCCAAATAAACATACCTTCATCTGGAAAGCACATGTTAGAAGTTAAATCAGTCACTGGCAAAACCAAGTGTTTTTCCTGTACAAGTTTATACCTCCCTTTTTTCCCCCTCAACTTTAATTCACCTCTTACAATCCAAACTATCCCTTTTTTCATCTGAAATACAGGCCACCAGATGCATTAAGATATAATTTAAAAAAAGTTAGTAATTACAGTTGGTGAAACAATTGTTTTACTGTTATGATGCAACTGGCCCACAGCCAAAGAATTATTCCTTCTGGCCACAAGTCTTTCAGATAATGTATTTTGTTCTTTCCAAATAGCCTTCTACACAAAAGCAGGAGTAGCTAGGAAGACAAGGTTGCTTAGTAAATTAAACCAAACTAAATCACATCTCTCTAAGAGAAGATTCATTACCTACTGCTTTATTAGTTAAGGAAAAATACAAAGGAGGAAATGAATCAGAATACTGTTAAAGAGGACGCAGCAGGAGTTTGTGAAGTTAAATCTGAAGCTCAACAGTGTTTAGACATTACAACTTTTCCTGGGGGCAGGGGGGAAACACATCACACACAAAAAAAACCCACACATACACCCGACCCCAAATTTTATGTGAAGCTCAACCAAAATACAAGCTGTTTCTTTTTACCATACATCTATGGTACATAACAAGCTACAGACTGCTTGTATTTAACATTTAAATCTAAGTAACACATTCTTAAGCCTGGCAGGAGGTTAGTAATGGGACAGAAGTACAGTATGATTCCTTAGATAAAAATCTACCTTTCAAAGAAATGATTCAGAACTACATTTTATAACACCTTGCTCTTATTTTCTGTTAAATGTACTTCTTTACAAGGGTACACAGAAGTCAGGTATTTTA